CATCAATGAGGACATTCTCTCGTGGTCTCTCTCTCTCTCTCGTTATCTTTGTCTTTCTTGCCGCGCTCTCCCGTTCTCAAAATATGTCCTTGCATTTCTTTCTTTCTCTATCTCTGTGAAATGTAGCCTAAAGCCGAATCAATTTTCCATGAGTCCTGCTGGCCTGTCGATTTGGCAGCAAATCCACATTTTGATTTTTGAATTGCACCCGAACAGGGAAATACTCATCCGATCTCATGGTCAGATAGTACAAAGAGCACAATTCTGCAGTCTCGCTTGCATCGCCGTCTCTTCAATCACTGATGCAACATCGTGATCTCGTACAGCCTTGCTGGCTCACAACTGTCAGCAAGCGCGATGAGCAAGGTTAGCGTGGCAACCGAGCCAAGCACTATGCAAACTATTCCTGGCCATCCTGCGAGGGTAGCCGAACTGCGCTTCAAAGATGTCTTCTACAACAACGGTCCTCGCGGATTCGTTCTCGCCCAACTTTGGATCGTTTTCAGCGCCACCATCGATGCCTGTCTGTGGCAGGATGATGCATACCCAAGAGTCATCGACATAAACTTGGCGGCCTCGTGAACCGGCACACCACGGGCTCCAGCACCGAGAAGTGGGCTGGCGACTACAGAGCCAAGACTCGAGGCAAGCTCCAAACTTGCCTGGCCAAACTGCACACATGCACGTAATTGCACACATATACTCATCCTTTTTGACTTCTACACTGCTCTCTACACTGCAAAGGGCACTGCAAAGAGAGCCTGCCAACAGCTCTCTAGGCTCTGCTCCCAATCGTCAGAATCGTAGAATGGCCTTGGAATGTGTAGCAGGTCGCATAGACATTGTCTTGGCAGGAAATTAGTGCGCTGCGGCACCGCATGGACGATGTAGCTGAAGAATGAGCTCAACCCTCCCACGGCCTGGGTGGTTGCATGAAACACTTTCACAACCAGGGCATGACTTTACCTCACGGGATGAGTATGATGCCACACAACTATTTGTAGACTGTGTGAAGCGCTGGCGTCATGACGGCCTGGCCTGCACCACACCAAAATGTAATGTATGAATGTCTGGACTGAAGGCATGCCAACTCAACGCATGTCAAACGCCCCACCTATTGGACATCGGATCCCAGGCGACACTTCTGCAAGCTGCAGACACGCCTCTGACAAGCTGACATGTTCAGATCTTTGTAGGCTGATTGATTCAGGACTTTTGTTGAAGTGGTCCAAGCGGTTTCTGGGACACAGTACTGACACAGTACTGACACAATGTCGCGGCGGATTCAGTCATAAGGCAGCCATGAAGTTCCGACATCATCCGGAAGTGCGAGACACAACTGTCGATATTTGAACCAACGCAACCAGTCTCTGCGGTACTGCGTCTGTTGAGCTGTCGACTCGCATCCTTTCTTTCGTTTGTTTGAATTTGCAATGTGTCATGAACGAGCCCAGGTGAGAGATTAGAGGCATGAACAAAACTAAGACACAGTCAAAAGAACAATCTGAAACAAAACCAGAGCACAAAGAAAAGTCTTACGTTGTGGTTGCACTCGTACGACCGGCGGAGGTAGCAGTAGGAGCAGAATAGAAGTATCAGCGGCAGAAAAGGCAGTAGTAGTAGTAGTCTCGTAGCCGGTCGTCGTAGGTAGTAGCTACAACAAATACTACCGCTCGTACTAGTACAGTTCCAGTACTGGTACTGGTACTGGTACTGATACGACTACGACTGCGACTGCGACTACGACTACGACTACGACTACTGTACTACTACTACTACGACGACGACGACGACGACGACGACTTCTTCTACTACTACTACCACCACTACTACCACTACTGCTACTACAACTACAAGTACAACTACAGCTACAGCTGCTACTACTACTACTACTACTACTACTACTACTACTACTACTACGATTGCTGCTACTACTACTGCTACTGCTACTGCTACTGCTACTGCTACTGCTACTGCTACTGCTACTGCTACTGCTACTGCTACTGCTACTGCTACTGCTACTGCTACTGCTACTGCTACTACTACGACGACGACGACGACGAAGAGTGCGACTACTGCTACTGCTACTGCTACTAGGACTAGGACTACGACTACGACTACGACTAGGGCCGCTTTTGCTGAATTTCGGGTTTCCAAAGCAACTTAAATTCGACCAGCAGGACTGACCCGTTTCCTCCTCCTCCTCCTCCTCGCCAGAGTACAGTACGGATCACTTGATTCAGGGCGCTGCCTCCCGTTTACGCCCTTGGAACAGTTACTCTGGCACTCTTCCTAGCAGCTGCCCAGGCCTGAACCACTCTTGATTTCAGGCCCACACACCTTGCAATACAGTTGCAGAACCTGTCAAGTGTTTGCGTGCCTCTTTCAGTTCAGATCCACCAACGGCATGCACGCGCCCATCAACAACCTGCAGCTGAATTCCTTGCGAAGAAGCTCCAAGGTGCAAAGATAAGGACGCGGCTTGCTGTGCGTAAAACATCTTGCTGCCAGCTTCCATGCCGCACCATCTGGCATTCAACACTGAACATGAGATTGGGGTGAGTGACACATTATGGCCGGAAGTCGCCATGGGCACATGTTCAGCGGAACTTACTTCGAGACCCTGAACCCAAAAGAAGCATGCGCTACGACTTCAAAGGTCACAAGGAGGCCGCGCATTTGGATGCGGGAAGACATTATGATAAAGCAAAACAAGTACATTCGCGTTGCTCTTTTCGATCAAATTATTTCAGTCCTCACCTGCTTCTGAATTATGCTGCGCTACCGCATGTCTTTTCGCGAGAGCTACTGCCTGCAGATCCCGTGAAGGATAAGCTAGCTCCATGGCAGAAGCCTGAAGAACTAATCGCTTATCCCAAGGCACCACCCACAAGTAGCATGCAGCTTCAGCAAAATCACAATGAGCAGCTTGCTGTTTAGAGCGAGACAAAGCACTCTTTGAGAGGAGTACAATGTGTTGTAGGGGGTGCGTTGTAAACTTGTTCGGCCTTGAGTTCCTGAGCTCAGGAGGTGGCTCCACTTGCATTGGAAAGTACGGCAGGCGCGTCCCGACCATGGCCTGGCAACTCACCAAACTCAACGGCACAAGCATAAGCCACCGCAAGGTACCATAAGACGTCGTGTTTGGGCGGCATACGGCACGCGCCTCGTTTGCGGGATTGATCAAGACATCACAGAAGCCCATCGGAGGTTTTTCAACGATGTCATCAGTCAGGTGCCTGCACAATCACAAATAGAAGCTATGAAGTGGCCGTGAAGTGATTGAAGTGTTGACTTGGGGAATCTGAATTGTAAGAACTTCGCAACTGCAGCTGCAATGATCCCAACTGCCACGACCTGGTCACGAGACACTGGAGGTTGCATGTGGATCAACGGTTTGTCGGATTGACACCACACCTTCTGGAGACGGAGTGGGCAAAACGGATGCTGAACCTTCGACTTATTCGCGTGGCCTGCAACAGCGCTTAGGGTTCCGACTGAGCACCTCTAGCATTCACACTTGCAAAGACGAAAGAAGAAGAAGGGGCGCACCTGCAAATAATGCGACGGTGCTGCAAGCATCCGGGCCTCTGGTGACCGGACAGCCACACGGCCCCAAGGCATCACAAACTACTGCAAGGGTCACGATCTGCAGGTCCGCAAGTCCAATCACGGCATGCTCACACTCCGTCGTTGAGCGGCTGTCTCATAATCTGAGGTGCAAGCTCAGTTCTGTGGATGGAGCTGCCTTGCACCAAATATTTCAAGCTTGCTCCCTGGTGGTTGCTGCGCATTGCTGCCTGCCCCTCTGTCCATCATGAGCTGATCATGTGCTGCAAAGGCATTGCATTTAGCTATGAGCTATGTCTACTGCGGCCATCGTCTGAGAACATTCTTCGGCTTCCCAGACTTCTAAGCGAGAAGAATTTTGGGGGGTAGTAGCGGCTACAGTTGATCGGCTACTTCCTGCGACTTCCTCCACTTCCGGTTATCATGCCAACCAATGTCAAACTGACATGTCCGCTGCTCGATGCGCAGGCATGCGCAAGCTGCGGTTCTGCCACATTATTCGCGGATCTGGAGCACGGCAAGCAGCTCACACACACACACACACACACACACACACACCCTCACTCTGTCACACACTCTGTGTCACACACACACACACACACATACACTTACACTTCTCCATACAAGTCTGCACAGGGTTCTCAAGAAAAGCATGTAGCAAGGGCTGCTGGAAGCACAAACGAAGCTAGAGTTCCTGTTCTCGGGAATTTTCGCCTAAGGCGGCATGGTTGGACAGGATAGTCGACGAGTCGACACTGTAGATTGCCAGCCGCAGCATTCGCTGAACTGGCCCGAGCAAGACGCGATCACCTCTTGGACAAGTGCAAGCGAGACGCCGACCTGGCATCTAGCATTGTGGACATTGTCTTGGCATCGACAGGTCGTTCTCACGCTCTTTGGGTCAAAGAGCATGTTTTAGCTTGCATGGGGCACAGTGTGGCCTGAAGGTTCAAACTGCGACAGGTGGCAATGGTGCATCCACATACTTCCATCCTGTCCGGACGCATGATGTTGTATGTATGACCGGCAAACGTGCAAACTGTGCTCAGACGCTCAAACAGCCAGCCTCACTGGTCGGCTAGGGTTGCATCCAGTGGGAAGCCTTTCGACGATCGTTTTAGCCGTGCGTGTGCAAATTGTCATCAAGTCCTGCCTCGGCAACCAGACATCCGTTGTCATCAAGTCCTGCCTCGGCAACCGGTAAGCTGAGAGTCATTGAGTAGCAGTAGTAGTAGTAGTAGTAGTAGTAGTAGTAGCAGTAGTAGTAGTAGTAGTAGTAGTAGTAGTAGTAATAGTAGTAGTAGTAGTAGTAGTAGTAGTAGTAGTTGTTGTTGTTGTTGTTGTTGTTGTTGGTGTTGTTGTTGTTGTTGCTGCTGCATTGGCTGTTGGCGAGGTACTCATCCGGAGCAAGCGCGAACCCTTGTGGTTTGCACCTGCTAACAGATTTGAAGTGTCTGAACATTTTGGACATTTAAATTTCCAAGTTGCGGGGGAAAATGGCGCATTTGCGATGAATGGGCCAAAATTTGCCGCAATAGGTCTGCCGCGTCATTGAAACATCGAGCCAAGAACTTGCAGTTCATCGTCGTCAGGTAGCCGCACACAAGTACGCGGACCACAGGCTCGTGTCCCGGGATTCGCAGCTTAAACACCTTAAACAGTTTAAACACTTTGAATATCACAACTACTTCATTGCATTGTTTAACCTGCAGCACTTTAACAGAAGTTTAAACACTTCAAGCGCAGCTGAGACAGTTTAAGCAGTTTAAACTGCTTAAACTGCCAATCCCTGTCAAGCCAGCGATCTCACCAATATCTTCGCGTACACCGGCGGCCGCCCAACATGCCGTTGACCCGTGTTGGATATTTACAGTACTATCTTGACACATCGCTAACCCTTGACTTTACCCAGCTTCGACATCTTTTTCCTCGGAGCCAAGTTCAGCTCAAGGGTTGGAGACTCAACTACATCACGGACGGTGCTGGAAGGATTTGGCAACCTGTATGAAGTTGTTTGAAGCAGAACTGAGGAAACTAAGGCCTCGAACTAAGGCCGCTGCTGAATCAGACCCGTTCGGGAGCGATAGGCGCAGCCCCACCGGTCTTGTACCCAGCGCCCGCAAAGTCTTGGGAGGGGGCGGCCTGGAACAAACCAAATGATGAGCCGAGCAGAAGCCATAGAAGACGAGATCGCAAGCTCCGAGCCGCGCAGACTCGCCAAAAGGCAGCGGCTCCTAGCGATGCTACTAAAACGGCTCCCAGCGCTACCAGTACCTGCTTCGTGGGCTGCCTCCTCTTCTCACCCGCCAATGCATATGCACAATGTACTGTTCTTACATTATACAGTAGTTGGAATACGTGGGAGTCGCATCGTCCCTGTCTTGCAACCTGGCGCCATGACATGAATTGTCCTCATGCGACTGGCCACCAGGTAGCTCAGTGGCAAAAGTCATCTGTTTGGTCAAATTCCTGGGACAGACATGTGCTGCCCATGAACCACGGCTGATCTTGTGTGGTAACTGGGTTGCCGGCACAAGTGCTTCAAGTTTGCGCTTGTGCCTTAGCCCGCACGGAAAGTGTTAGCTGCCATTTTGCCATCAATGTGTGCAATACCGAGCCATGAACCCTTGTCTGACGCTGCCGCTCTCCCATTCACTTAGCTCTGACTCGTCGGCATCCGTTTCGTAGCCGGCCTCCATGGCTAACACGGTACCCATAGTCTTCCAAAAGCCATTTGTTTGGCAAGCTTTCCGACTCCACTGTGAAGTCACTGAAGTCTCCAAGCGCAAGTCTTGAGGAAACAATACCTTTAACATGCTCGAGCTCGAAAGCCGTAAGCATCATGAACGTAGGGCCCACGTTCCAGCGAAAATCAGATGTCACAAAACACGTGCGCGAGCACGACGAAAGCTGGGAGCTTGAAGGCTTAAGGACCAATCGATGCACTCTGAACATACGGTCTCCAATTCGACATGACATTCTCAGCACTCTCCGCACTCCGACTTCTGCACTTGAAGCCAACCTCGTAGCCACTGTCGTCTGTGTTTGACGACCAACCTGAAACCAACAGAAAAGCACATGCAAGCTGAATGAGCAGCCCCTAGTCACACGAAAAGCCCCAAAAAAGCTCCGCGCCCAAATGCTCACCCGGACAGACCTCAGAACACATCGACGAGTGAGAACGACTATGCAGCTCCCTCGTCCTCGGTGCACCTTTCCTTCCCTGAGTGCTTGGCCAGGCTCCCACCAGAGGCACTGCGCAGGACACCCGCCGCACCGACCGCCGGTTGCAGCAGCTCCTGTCCAACAAGATTGCGCGCATGCCAATCGCCACGTGCGGTGTGCAAGCGCCACTTTGTTGCTTTGCATGCTTTGCAGAGGTTGTCGCCCTGCCCAGTTTTCGGACTGGGTCACCTTGCCCTGAGTCGGTAAAGGCACAAGTAATTCTGATCTTGTTCTTCCTTCTTCTTCTTCTGCTGGACTGACGGCACGGACCGTGTGGATCGCATCCATGTCTTTGCATTGTCCACCCCTGCATCCGTGCCGCGTGCTTAGCTGCGGTGCTGGCCCCACCCTCTAGTTGCTTTACCCACTCTCATCTCCATCTTCGCGGAGGAGGCCAGCCACTCGGTCAAGTACGTTTAGCAGCATTTTATATCGGTTCCCCCCTTGCGGCATCGCCCCATCTGTCAGTACAGTGCAGTCAGCCTTGACCCTGAAACCAGGCCTAACCATAAACCCCCGAAGACGGTGTGCGTACACATGTGGTATTATGTGGTACAAGGCTTATGTTTGTGTTTGTGTTCTCTCTCTTGCTTGCTTGCAGTGCGTGTGACTCCCAGCTGGGAGCCGCCCCACAGGGGCACGCAACACCGAGTCCGTGTCTGTGTGAGACGGTGTGTATGGTGGCGATCGGTTTGAAACAGGGACAGGGATATTGCTCCCTCCCACTCATATCTCCCACCTCGTTCTTTGACCACACCTGTTGTTACTTGGATCCCCAACCTTTGGGTTTCGAGATGGGTGACGTGCCATGACCGGATTATTCGATGGTGTATGTCCAGTGTTCTCTCTCTCTCTCTCTCGGACTCTTGCTCTCGCTGTCAGACTCGGAGAGCAACGAGGCTGAAAATGCCAACATGTGCTAAGCAGATCGGTTCACCAGAGGCTGATCTCCTTCAAGCGGCCACGCCGCCGCTTCTCCTGACAGAGGTGAATCATCAAAAAACAACTTGATAGACATCAACATAATTGCCCCAGGCCACATCAAGAAAAATATGATAAACATCAAGAAAACATTTGAATGCGCAATACTATGAAATGCAGCATTTCTGGCTGTTCGCGGGCTATACTCGCTGAAAAATGCAGCACTAAGTTTCGCAAAAAACAGCACGCGAGGGGCGGGGGGGCCGACGGGGGGGGGGAAGGGGGGGGGGGGGGGACCGAGGGCGGATGGGGGGGGGGGGACGGGTGGGATGGGGGGATGGGGGGGGCCGGGGAAGGGAGGGGGGGGGGGGGGGTTGACCATTTGGGTCAAACATCGACCTAAACACAAGCTGGGAGTTTGGGGGGAGGGGGAGAGTTGCAAACACAATGCTCGCAGGGTTTGCTACGATGTGCCAGGTTCCTCCGTTTCCTGGTCTTCTGGTTCTCTGGTCTGTTGGGTTCTTTGCACTTCTGGCCCGCTGTTCTCGTCCCCTGGTCTGCGGGCTTTGCTATCCGGTTTTGGAATAGCAGATTATGTATTCGGATATCGAATCCTTCCTATTCTGATATTGATTTTTAGTCATATTCATGTGAATTAACGGTATGACAGGTGAATATCAGATTATGTTGCCCCATGTGATATTCATTCCTCATTCCTCATGACAGACATAGAACTAATTACTCTTAAGAGTCCGTGGACTAGTCATAGTGGTCTGAGCAGAACGCTGCGACCCCTCCGCCCCCGCTTGTCTTGGAGAAGGTCCAAGCCGTGCAATCCTTGTTGCAACTGTCATGTGAATTTGAATCCTTTCCAAACTCCGTCATGCCAGCATTGTGGGGGGGGCGGCTTGTTCTCGGACCGTGCGCTGCTTGCTTCAAAAGCATATGTATCCCTTCCAAACCCCGTCGAGCATGGTGTTTGCAAATGGGGGCCCCCTGCTTGTTTTCGGACCTAGTTTGTTTGAAAACGCGCAATGCTTGCTACAAAGCCTCTGAATCCTTTCCACACCCCATCACGCGAGCGTGGTGTTTGCAAATGAGGGGCTCCCCCCCCCACCCTACCCCGCCGCTTGTTTTGGGACCTCGTCCTGATTTGTTTTTGATACCGATGCCCCTCCTGACACAGAGAGGGAGAGAGAGAGGGTCGGATCCCCCAGTGCCATGTCATGCCATGCCGCTTCAGAATTCCGATATCGATCAAAGCGTCTGTGGGTTCATTGGACTGTTTCTGGCTCAAGAATATGCGGTCTTCCCTTCCCTCTCCACTCATTTCTTCAGCCTCCCTCCACTCGCATAAACTTGTCCGCATAAAATGCAAACCAACTCGTGCTCCATTACACAATGTCAGTCTCATCTGAAGCTAAACTGTGCTAGGATGTGCTAGGCTCTGCACTCACGGTTCGTTTACGAATCAACACCCTGATGGTTCTCGTTTATTTCCTCTTGGCCTGAGCTGGCCTCAGCGATGACAAGTTGGCTTTTACCGGACTGTGTCTGCAGTTCTTAATCCAGATTCTTAATCCTTGCATGCGACTGTTGGCATTCCACAGTAGAGCTTCAGCTCAAATCGAAGCTCCTTGGAAAGACGGCGATAGCTTCGGGCCATGGACAGGACCTTTAGTCTAGCACTCGGCTCTGTCATGTATAGTGAGGGCAAGGCCCCTGTCAAGAATTCATGGACCGCAATGCCCGAAAACCCACACTCTCTGGGCAGCCGACCCAACTGGACGAGGAACCTGCTCCTGGCTTGATCTGCGCCTTCCGTCACGAATCAGAAAGCTGTCATGAATCCATGTGAGAACTGTCTGCAAATAAAGTCTGTGAAAGTCACCTTTGCGGCCATGGTCTCGTAAAATCGCCTGACGCGGTCTCGTTGGCAGAGCGTCTCAAGAAATGATTCCTTAACTCTGGCCGGAGTGCTCGAGGCCGGGTAAGGCCGACCTCAAAGCAATCTGGCTGCGCAGCGAATGCAGCGATATGCGGAGTGCTCGATCTAAGCAACCAGCTGCAAGTTTTCATCTTCGGTGTCCTCGATGTTGACGGAAGATTCGCTGGGTCCTCTTGCCACTCTTAGTCTTAGTCGTCAAGAAGCCTAGTTGCAGGTTGCCGTTGCACTGAAACCAGAGGAGGCCTTCTGACACATAACCTTCGCGCAGGCATCTCTTTTCGACGCCCATAGCTAAGGCCTGGCACCGTTCTTAGCTTAAGCGGCAGGAGGCGTCTGAGATCACGAAGGCTCATGTAGTCAAGCTGCGTTCAACTTCAGCGGATTGGCAGCCATCGAAACGACTCACTCGACGACACAAATTGTTCCATGGGCGCACCGCAGATCTCAGAAACGGTGATGGTTCTGCAAAAGCCGGAACCTCCAGCACGTGATAGCAGGTGGACACACAATCGCTCGGTCACGAGACATCACGAGCTACTGCTGCAAGTGTGAATGAAGATCAGCCAGGACTGGTGGTCACTTGTCGTTGGAACACAATGCCTCAGGCCAGCCATCTTTCTTGGGAGGATGTGCTTGGCCTGAGGCTTGTCCCTTCCCAACATGCATCAGGATCGCCGTCACATGCTCACACTCTGTCGTTGGGCTGCTTTCTCATAAGCTGTGCTGCAGGCTCAGTCCCGTGGATGGAGCTGCCTTGCACCAAAAAGTTTTGACAAGCTTACTCCCTAGTGGTTGCTACGCATTGCTGCCATTTTGCTGCCTCCCCCATCTGTCCATCATGAGCTGATCATGCGCTGCCCCGGCATTGCATCTGGCTACGTTTACCGCGGCGATCGTCTGAGGTCATTCTTCAGCTTGCTAGATTTTTCTGCGAAGAGTTTTCATGTTTTCGGGGCTAGTCATTATCGGCTAAAGTTGATCGGCTACTTCCTGCGACTTACTCCACTTCCAGTCATACCAACAGTATACCCACCAATGTGAAACTGACATTTTTGCTGTGACGCTCGAGCATGCGCACGCCGCCGGTGCTGCCACATGATTCAAGCAGCAAATACTTCGATGCAAGAAACTGCACGCACACGCAGACTCTCGCACAAGTCTGCACAGCGTTCCCAAGATCAGCACCCAACAAGGGCGACTCGAAAAACAAAAGAAACTAGAGCTCCTGATTTCTCGACATTTCGCGCGAATACCGCGGGGCGGTCAGGCGGGACGGTCGACCAGTGGACGTCGTAAAATGCCAGCCGTGGCACCAGCTGAATTAGCTCGCCTTTGGCAAAGCATGCGATCCAGTAATCACCAAGGTATCCGCAGGAGAGGCCAACCTTGCATTCACAAGGACTCCAATCGATCGTCATGAAATTTCAAGGTGTTGCACCGTTGATACCAGCACCATGCTCAACGCAAACGGCACTACGAGCTAATTTGCAGTCACTAGAGTCACTAGAGGCCACGCTGGGGCCTGAAGGTTCAAAATGCGACAGTCGGCAACGGTACAGCCAAACACCTCCATCCAGTCCGGAATGCATGATTATGCAGGTGCTCATTGCGCAAGTGTTTCGAAGGTCATGCGAATCCCTGCCTCTCGCTGGTCACTAAGGCTGCATCCAGTGTGAGGCCTTTCAGTCTCGCAGCTCATGCGCTTAGCAAACTTGTCAGCAGCACCCGCACAAGGCGAAAACAAACTTGTTCACGTTACTTGGACAACCAAGCGCGAGGTTCGTGTTTGTCACTTGCCACTCATAACTCCTTTCAGGAAATCTTCCTGGATTTACACTAAAAGTTTGCCGCTTTCCGTTTTTGGAAGTACGTTGCCGCGCTTTGATCCACCAAACTGGCCTCTCTGGTGGCACATCCTCCAGCACCGGTTCGAGTCGACCAAAGGTGCGGTGAAGCGCGAGACCAAGAAAGTCTTTGATGCCTACTTTGAGTGGAAGCCAGCAGACTTTTCCAAACACGGCTGGGTCGCGAGGCTAGACGGGCCGCTGGTGGACATGTAGCCCTTGTCAACGGGGTTTCTCGACAAAAGCTGGCATGGCTACGCATTTCTTCAACAAGCATGGCAGAAAGGCTGCATATCGGACAGTGGTGGAAGGCACTCCCAACCGTAGCTGTGGTGTGGACTATCACAAACTTCTGCGGGTCGCTTGTACATTTGCGTTCGACACCGACGTCGTGCGCAACGGCTCAGACAGGCTGAGATGGTGGCAGGCAACATGGGGCCATGAGCTGACCGTTGAGCTTGGAGGCCGCTACGTTTATGACACTGGATGTGTAGCCAGAGCCACACCAGAAATATCTCAAATTATAAAAAAACATTCATTAAGATAATTCTTTGGCAACGCGTTCTCTGTGGCTGCATCTGGGGTCAGAAGGCTACGTCGGACGATTTTCATACTGCACCTCGCAGAAACACGGAGGGCGGACCGGAAGCAGGAGCATCCGCAGTTGCTTCCCCAGACACGGTCGAAGCCATAGGCTGCACTTGACCTTCCGCCGGAAGCTGGCGCTGGTGAAGCGCATGCTCAGCTTGAGATCCGCTCTGTGCACCCCCCAAACAACCCGATTTGTGTTTGCAGATTGTCGAGCAGTCGAGCACATGAGTGAAATCATGTGACATCCTGCGCACCAATGGATTGGAAGAGGCAATGGGCGGGACCGAAGAGTTTCAAGCATGGTTGTCCCAGATCGTTTTGTTGGATTTCCTCCGAGGCAGCCGAGATGCAACCGGAGGCCGGCCCTGCAGCACTCCCGTTTTTTCAAGATGCTTTGGGAGCAAGTCATACAGGGAAGTCAACCGTACTTCCGTGCTCCAGCGATGCCGCATTTGTGTTTTGGGATTCACCCACTCCTTTAGTAAGGTTTGCCTCTCACCACTCCTTTGCCCAGTCGTTTAAGCTTTAGGGTTTGCCACTTGCCAGCAGTCAGTCCTTTCGGACTGCACCCAACATTTTGCTGTGATAGTGTTGCCGGTTCACATCGATCTTCTGTCAGGGTTTAGGCAACAGTTGGCCACGGGCTTGGCACCGGCAACAAAGTTTAGGGATGCACTCAAACTTTTGGCTCAAGGCCTGTGTGTTGAGTACGGAAAACATTGGCAAGTGGTGAAGGTTTGCTAAGCAGCCTTTCCAACAATGGTTCCGGCTGGTGCGTGTGTCGAAGGCCGTCTGTTCCTGCCTCACCAACCAGACATCCATTGGGCTTTGCCTCCGAACAGCTGCTTAAATTCAGCAGGCGAAGAGCAGTAAGAGCGGCTAAGCGTCAGCCCTTGTTTCACATGCATGGGTCCTCGGCGCGACCAGTCACTGTGGCCAGTTCAGCCCTGAGGGCTGCCGCCTGGACAAGACTCACTCAGCTTGAGGATTATGCTGCAATTTCAAGGCTTGCTCAGTGTGGATTCTTTCAGCTCCAGCCATCATCGGCGCCGCACAAGGGCCTGAGCATTGGCCGTCTCCGCCGCTTGTCGAGCCGCGGCGACTTCTAGCATCGTGGCATCTAAACGCCGTGCCAGCTGCGCACGCCTGCCATTTCTCATTGAACTGAGCACATGAAAATGACACCCTGGTGAGGCCAAATTAGCCGGCTATGCAGCTCCACCACCTGCGAAGGCTACACATTCCCATGACTGCAACATTCCTGCAACCGAGAGACGAAGAAACATCAATCTATCACTATATGGTTGACCCAGCCTTCACCTCAACAGTGTAGGTCGGGTTTTGAATGGTCTTAGGAGTCTTAGGAGTCTTAGGGTTTCGGGCTGAGGTTTTAGGTGATGGAGGGCTGGGTGGTTGGCAAAGGGGAAGCGGGGAAGGGGGGAAGGGCTGCAATGGCTGCAGAGAGGCCGGAAAGCAGATGCTGGGCGGTTGAACACTTGTTACAGTGTTGGCTTTGTTTGGGTCGGGATGTAGTGAGAGGCGTGGCCAATTGATGGTCTGTGAAGGCTGCGAAATGCAATCCCCACCCGAACGAGTGGTTGTGCTTGGGCGGCAGATTTGTGCTCAAGCATGCATAGGGATTGGATTGGAGCACGGTGCATTGGCTGGCGTGCTGCAGAGGGAGCGCCGTGCTCAACTGCCACGGTGCCCGAAGATGGGCTTGTGTTTGGCGTGTCGATTAGCCTTGGTGTTAGGCCTGTTGGTACAGTGCAGGGTGGGTGTGGATGTGCAGTGTTCATGAGACAGATATTGGTGAGGTCCAACAAATGAGACGGTGCCCATGACATGGCACGGCGGCAAACCCAAGCACCTCGTGCTCCAAACGGGTACACCTGGATCGTAGAGCCTCCACAGCCTCCTCACCTTCAGTTCTGGAGCAACCAAGTACAAAAACCCGTACCGCGATTTCCACCAAGCGAGCGGCCCGTGGCAGCCACCTCGCCAGGTCACTTAAAACAAAAGGTCGGGCAAATTAGCATCTATCAACGTTCCTCACGTAAGAATTCGACAATGGTGACGAAAGCAAGACCATCATGATCCAGACACGACCCAGACCTGCTCGAGCGGTCGCCGTTCCAGGCCCTTGCAAATGGTGCGAGCATTGCATGCTCGGAATGCTTGGAAGTCACTCGGCGAGGGTGCCTCCTGCAGGTACTCCTGAAAGTCGCCTGGCGCACCAGTGTCATCTTGGAGCAGCGTGTAGAGTGTAGATCGTGAGATGTGCTGAGGCTTTTGAGGGCGAGTCCGATCCACTCGCAGTCAGTTTGCTTTGCGACAGCGGCAGCCACTGCGGCAGCTGCCGCAGCCGCCCTCGTTATCGCAAACGTAACGTTGCGGTTGCAGTTGAAATGGCCCCCCAAGTGCCCAAGTGCTTGGAGCAAAGCCCTGTTCCAGAGTGTCCGTTGGACTCCAGCACCAAGGCCAAGGTTGCCAGCGATTTCACCTCACTACGATGCGACGACATTTCCTGCGCAACATCATGCAACATCATGTAGAACGTCACGAGAGGGTACGAGATGTCACGAGATGTCACGAAGAAGCCCGCGGCAAAGGAGGGAGCCCGAGCGGATTCCGTCGCGGTCGCGCCCGCAGCAGGCGATGACGAGCCTGACTTTGACTTTGGATCGGCTGGCTCCGGGACTCTTACTGCTGACCCTGGGGCAAGCACCTAAGCTGCCTTTATCACCAGGTGCTGAAACCTGGAACGATGCTGGCTGCTAAGCTGAAGAATCCTGCCCAAACCCAGCATTGGCCGCAACTGCACAACTGTCACGGCCTGCACTGGTGCTGTAGTCGGTGGCCTGGCCTGCAAGAACACAACTTTGAACCAAACGCAACTATACACCGATTTCACCAAAATGTGTAACCACTTCAAGATTATAAGAGCAAGTGAAGCTCCAGTACAACGTGAAGAGAAGATACGCTTGGTTTGGTGGTCATGAGGGACTGGCCAAGATCAGCTCAACTTGTATTTGGAATTAGCTTGAACTCATAATAAAACTCATGCTGAATATTCTTGAACTTGCTGGATCGATACATATACGTTACATGGGACTCTGCCGTGCTGGGCTGCACATGCCGGTAGCAAGCTTCGCTTCCCAGAGCAGCAGGGATGAGCCCAAACACATGCAAGGAGAGCGCGAGGCGGCTCCGGCGATCGACTCGCCTCTCTGGTACCTCCTGGTTCGAGCAGGAGACGCACAGAATTCTTGACATCCAGCTTGCCGCGAGGTTTGCTCTCTCCTTTCTTCCGCTGCGGAGATGCCCGCCGTGGCTTCGAACCTGCATAGAGCTGCACCGTAGCACTGTAGAGTGGCATGGTAGCATGGTAGCTTGTGGTAGCATGCCATCGTCGAAAACACTAAAGGCCCAGCACCTGCCGGATCTTGCGGAGATGAATTCCGCACAGGAGAATCCCGACGCGTTGCTGTGGAGACCTGGTACTGGCCAGCAAAACTGTAGCACGAGCCTCAAGCCAAGCCGTGTAGCCTTGTTGGCTTCCACAGGGCCTGAACAGAGCAGCCACTGATCCGATCCCTCACAATCATGGTCGTGTTGCTGCTCCTGCAGATCGTCCCGCAGATCTGGCACGGCGAACTGGTTGCATTAAGCCTTCCTCAGCCACAACCGACAAACATTTCATTGGTTAAATGGGCGCATACTCACGACTCGCGACTCAACACGCATGAGATCTGGGAGCCCACCTCACGGCCCTGGGATTGATGAGGGCTGGATCCTGCAAGCCAGGCGACCGTACATCCAAGGGGCAAAGCTCGACCACAGCCTGACAGTGTCGCAGCATTTTGCCAAGAGGACGGAGCATTCCTCAGACCACGCAAGCAAGCGCTAGCAGGCAAGTTGAACAGAATGGGAGAACTCTCGCTTTTTTTGGGTACGGCTTGCAGTCCAGAATCAGTTCTTGACGCGGCAAGGTTGGGGAGGACCCAGGCGAAACCAGTGCCTTGCCACCTCGCGTCTGCCACTCTGATGCCAGGCCCGCAGCAGATCTCAGTCTCTGGACGCTCTCAATACGCTCTGCATCGCTCTGCTTTTTGCGACTCGCCAAGATGCTGACCAGGTATACCAGGGCTGATGTCTGCCACTGATGGATTTTCACGAATATTAACGAGTTGCCCTTGGGGCCGCGGGGGGGGGGGCCAAGGCGATGGCCAAAAGCGATCGCCAAGACCCCCGGAAGATACTTCCAACTCTGCCAGGCTGTGCCACGGGCTCAACGGGCTCAGGCCCTGACCCAGTTTGAAGCAATGCCGCTAATGCCGCAGAACAACTAGAAGCCATCTTTAAATCAACTTGTGCTGAGTTTGACTCTGAAGCACGTGGATGGAACATGTGCATCTACATGATCTACATTTGATCACACCATTATCTCTTGGTGGGAGGCGTTTCTCTCCACGGGGGCCGCGAACAAATAAACCTGCCGGGCATTCCAACAGCGAAACGAGTTTTCAGCAGGTATTGTAGTTGACGGTGTGAGCCTTTGCCTCGGTCGGTTCTGTTGATTTCTCTTGTTGGGTTTGAGGTGTCCTTCCCCAAAATGCCTTACACTTTGCTGTAATGCGTACGTGCACAATCAACTGGACTTCACCAGCTTCTTGCCGACGAACATCCATAGACAGCGGGAAACAGAAGGCACACAACAGTTGCATCGGCGGAAGCCTCCCCACAAGTAAAAGCATGGTTATGTCATTCCTGCGAGGGTCGTAACAAACCTTAGTCTCCCATCATGACGCTACCCAAAACAGGTCTGAGCAGGATGTGCCCAATTCAATATCTTGGAGGGCGGCACGGTGAGAAGTCATGACAAGCAATGGTTTCCCCAAGCAGACACTGCACAAACGCATTGCAAGAACATACACTTAAAAATGGAAGCACGCTTAGTTGTAACTTGCTTTTTTTGCTTACCTGTAACTTTCTGTGTTTTTGCTACATTTACTTGCTTGTAACTTCTTGTTTTGCTTACTCGTGATTTTTTCCGTGCCGTTTCCCGAGGAGGGGTGCCAAAACCCTTGCTTGCCTATAACTTTTTTTTGGCCTCAAACTGCGAATGCTGCGAATTACAGCATATGCAATCCGTTACTGGATTCAAGTCTTGCAACTTGCAGTCTTGCGGGGCTTCTCGCGCTTAGGCCTTATCCCTCAGGGTTCCGGGGGCTTAGGGTTTAGGGTTTAGGGTTATAGGCCCCTGTCCTACCTAAGGTGCCTGTCTATGGGGGTCATTAGGGCTTAAGTGTTGAGGGGGTTTTTGGGGTTTAGGGCTGAAAGATTTTTAGCCCCAGGTTGGGAGGGGCGCTTTTTAGGGTTTAGGGTTTAGGGGCTTCTTGGGGTTTAGGGCTTCGGGGTGTTTAGGGTTTATTGGTTTTAGGGCTTAGGGATTTTTAGGGTTGAGGGGTGTTTGGGTTTTAGGGTTTAGGGATTTGTAGCCCCCCCCCCCCCCCCTCCCATTTGCAAACACAACACACGCATGATGGGTTCGAAAAAGAATAAAGCGCGGGGGTTGGGGGGGGGCGCAGCCCCCCACCCCCATTTGCAAACACAGATGCTCGCATGATGAGATTTGGTTAAACATGCCTATGTTTAGGGGCTTTTAGGGTTTAGGGCTTAGGGTTTTTGTTTTTATGTTTTTGTTTTCTTAAAATTTAGGGCTTAGGTTTTTTAGGGTTGCGGGTTTTGGGGTTTAGGGCTCAAGGGATCTTAGGGTGTAGGGCTTAGGGCTTTTAGGGTTTAGGGGTTTTTAGGGTTTAGGGTTTAGGGTTTATGAGGGTTTAGCGTTTTAGGGTTTAGGGCCAGGTTTTTGGGGTTTAGGGCTCAGGGGTTTTGAGGTTTTAGAGCTTACGGCTTTTAGGACTTAGGGGTTTTTAAGGTTTGTTGTTTCGGGTTTTTGAGGGCTTTGGGTTTAGGGCCAGGTTTTAGGGTTTAGGGTTCAGGGGTTTTGAGGGTGTGGGGTTTAGGGGGTTTAGGGCTTAGGGGTTTTTGGGGTTTGGGGTTGTTTTTGGGGTTTAGGGCTGGGTTTAGGGCTCTTTAGGGACTAGGGTTTGTTTGGGGTTTATGGATCAGGGTCTTTGGGGCTTCGGCTTCGGGTTTTTTAGGTTTGGGGTTTTTTGTGTTTGTTGGGGTTGAGGGTCCCCAAACCCCCAATTCCCTTATAAGTACTGCGCGTGCCGACAGTCCAGGTACTAAAAGTCACGAAGCAAAACAAAAGTTACAACTAAGCAAAAAGGCTACAACTACCCTAGCTACCCTTAAAAATTCCTTCCCCGATTGGTTTCATCAATAAAAAACAAGGTCAAGCCAGGAACCCAAAAACAATCCGCATGACAATAGTGCCGGAGTGAAACCCCCACTGTAACATCTATTCGAAAAACCTCATGTTACGGCGTGTCTGTCGGAAGCCTATTGACTGAGATTGCGTGTTGGCTTTGATTATACCCGGTCAGAACTCATCATCTTGGATCCCCGTAGCGGTCCGCTCTCGCGCCCCTCCGGCTCTGTCCTCCCAATACTATACATTTGTACTACAAGCCAACGAAAACCCCTTTGTCCTCCCAGTACTACATTTGTACTACTCAATGCAACGAAAATCACAATGCAACGAGAATCCCTCAGCGTCCCGCGCCGCCGTACGCGCCGTCGCACGTGCCGCAGTTCGCTCTCGCACCCCTCCCAGTATTACATTTGTACTACAATTCAACGAAAACCCCTCAGCGTCCCGCGCCGCCATACGCGAAATGCCTCAGCGTCCCGCGCCGCCGTACGACGCGCCGCAGTTCGCTCTCGCGCCCCTCCAGCTTTGTCTCACAGTACTACATTTGTACTATACAAGGCAACGAAAATCCCTCAGCGTCCCGCGCCGCCGTACGCGCCGTCGCACGTGCGTGCCGCGCGCCCCTCCGGCTCTGTCCTCTGCAGGTCTACATTGTCTACATTTGTACTACAATGCAACGGAAATCCCTCAGCGTCCCCCGCCGCCGCACGCGCCTTCGCACGTGCCGCGGTTCGCTCTCGCGCCCCTCGTCCGGCTCTGTCCGCCCTGTACTACATTTGTACTACAATGAAACGAATCCCTCAGCGTCCCGCGCCGCCGTACGCGCCGTCGCACGTGCCGCAGTCCGCTCTCGCGCCCCTCCGGCTCTGTCAGTACTACATTTGTACTACAATTCAACGAAAAACCGCGCCGCCATATGCGCCGTCGCACGTGCCACAGTTCGCTCTCGCGCCCCTCCTTTGTCTCCCATTTGTACTACAATACAACGAAAATCCCTCAGCAGCGCCCTGCGCCGTTGTACGCGCCGTCGCACGTGCCGCAGTTCGCTCTCGCGCCCCTCTGGCTCTGTCTCCCAGTAATTTGTACTATACGATTCAACGAAAATCCCTCATCAGCGTCCCGCGCCGTTGTACGCGCCGTCGCACGTGCCGCAGTTCGCTCTCGCGCCCCTCCGGCTCTGTCTCCCAGCACTACATTTGTACTACAATTCAACGAAAATCCCTCAGCGTCCCGCGCCGCCGTACGCGCCGTCGCACGTGCCGCAGTCCGCTCTCGCGCCCCAGTACTACATTTGTACCACAATTCAACGAAAATCCCTCCGCCGTACGCGCCGTCGTACTCGCCGTCGTACGTGCCGCAGTCGCTCTCGCGCCCCTCCGGCTCTGTCCTCCCGGTGCTACATTCGTTCTATACAATGCAACGAAAATCCCGTCGCACGTGCCGCAGTCCGCTCTCGCGCCCCTCCGGCTCTGTCCTCCCAATACTGCATTTGTACTACAATTCAACGAAAATTCCTCAGCGTCCCGCGCCGCCGTACGCGCCGTCGCACGTGCCGCAGTCCGCTCTCGCGCCCCTCCAGCTCTGTCCTCCCAGTATATATACTACATGAGTACTACAATTCAAAGAAAATCCCTCAGCGCCCCGCGCCCCCGTACGCGCCGTCGCACGTGCCGCAATTCGCTCTCGCGCCCCTCCGGCTCTGTCTCCCAGTACTACACTTGTACTACAACGAAAATCCCTGAGCGTCCCGCGCCGCCGTACGCGCCGTCGCACGTGCCGCAGTTCGCTCTCGCGCCCCTCCGGCTCTGTCCTCCCAGCACTACATTTGTACTACAATACAACGAAAATCCATCAGCGTCCCGCGCAGCCGTACGCGCTGTTGCACGTGCCGCGGTCCGCTCTCGCGCCCCTCCGGCTCTGTCCTCCCAGTACTACAATTTGTACTACAATACAACGAAAATCCCTCAGCGTCCCGCGCCGCCGTACGCGCCGTCGCACGTGCCGCAGTTCGCTCTCGCGTCCCTCCCAGTATTACATTCGTACTGCAATTCAACGAAAACCCCTCAGTGTCCCGCGCCGCCGCACGCGCCGTCGCACGTGCCGCAGTTCGCTCTCGCACCCCTCCGGCTATGTCCTCCCAGTACTACATTTGTACTACAATGCAACGAAATCCCTCAGCGTCCCGCGCCGCCGTACGCGCCGTCGCACGTGCCGCAGTTCGCTCTCGCGCCCCTCCCAGTATTACATTTGTGCTACAATTCAACGAAAATCCCTCAGTGTCCCGCGCCGCCGTACGCGCCGTCGCACGTGCCGCAGTTCGCTCTCGCACCCCTCCGGCTCTGTCCTCCCAGTACTACATTTGTACTACAATGCAACGAAAATCCCTCAGCGTCCTGCACCGCCGTACGCGCCGTCGCACGTGCCGCAGTCTGCTCTCGCGCCCCTCCGGATCTGTCCTCCCAGTACTACATCTGTACTACAATTTAACGAAAATCCCCGTTTCGTTTTCACCCGTTTCGTTTTCATCCTGCCCTTCTGATCCCCACGCCATCCCCCTTTCGTTTTCATCCCCGTTTGTGTTTTCACCCGTTTCGTTTTCATCCGGCCTTTCTGATCCCCACGCCATCCCCCTTTCGTTTCCATCCCCGTTTCGTTTTCACCCCGCGGCTCTGATCACCCGTTTCGATCTCATCCCCGCTGCGTTCATCCCCGCTTCGTTTTCATCCCCGTTTCGCTCTCACCCCGCGCCGCCATTCCCCGGCATCGCTCTCTCGCGTTTTGAACCTAAACGAGAACCCAACATCCGAGATGTTTTTGGGAAAAAACTATACTGTACCCAGATGCTCCTAGCGAGGTCACCTCTCTCTTACTCTTACAGTAGCTGTCGCAACGTCAGCAAGGGTTGAGCCTCGTCAAAGTAAGGCTGAAAAACGCGAGAGGTCTGGTGACCATAGATCAGGTGGCTTGCCTGGTCGGCAAACGCGCTTCACTGGTGGCGCAGTGCTTACAAACTGGTAAACACATGCCCAAGATCCAAGTAGATTCCCACAATTTCCCACATCGCATGGCATCTTAGCCACGGGCCTCCTCGGCTTCAGATCGGAAACTCTGAGAATTCAAGCGCGCCTGGCAGAAATCGATGTCAAGGCCAGCATGCGCCGGGTTCCAGTAGAACTGGAACTGGAACCGAGTCTGAGTCTGAAAGCATTGCAAAAAGACTCAAAGAAGCACTACGACGGATGCGACGGATGGCAATTGAGCAATTGACCGAGTGCCTTAGAAGCCGCATTCATCTGAACCTCCCTCGTTTTCCTTGCCATTGTTTGCCAGTCTACTGAGATGCGCATTGAGCAGGCGGGGAGATGCAGGAAGCTATCAGCTGGTGGGAGGACGGAAGCCGTGGGGAGTAAGCCGGTAAGCCCGTCGTAGCCTCAGAAGGGTGTGGACAGAGGGTGGCGGAGGCATGCAGAGGCTCAATGCGCATGCTCAGGGTCGCGGTATGGCGCGGTCTGAGGCAGGCCATGGCATCTTCTCAACGGCTGGCACCAGAAAGTAAACGCAAACACTCGCTCGGCAAGTTCAGCTAGCTTACTGGTGTCCGACCGTTCATGTGGAAATCCCATGTGCCAACAAGGCGGGGTCTCTTCTCGTAGCTACTCGTAGAATCGTAGAAGCAGACATGTCGCAGGGCCTGCTGCACAAAGAAGTTTGCAAAGAACTGCGTTGTGGCAATGGCCTGGAAGCGCGGCCAAACCAGAGAGAAGGCAATGTAAAGGCCACACAACTGGGCTTGCAGCATCTGGGCCATGCTTGGCAGCCGTTGCAGGCTGGCCGTCTGGGAGAAGTCCTAAGTTCGGAACAACATGCAGCAGGTTCTGTCACGAACTCGGGCAGCTGAGTACTGCAGCCATGCTCGAAAGCATTTTTCTCAGGATGGAATTGAACACCAAACCTAAGCTCGAGAAACCCAGCTTGTAACAAAGCTGGCAATATCTTTCACTGTACTTGCACTTGCATTCTGCCTCACAGGCTGAGACTCTGAGGCTGGAGCCAGGGCAAGTTGACGCCCTCTATCACACAAGCGAACTCCTGTATTCTCTGTCGGGGTGTGTGTGGGCTACAAGTTCTGGCGAAACTCATGCGGGATTGTGTGATCCGAACACATCCTTGCCATCTTCATCGAAGCTCGTGCCCAGCACCTGTCAGCAAATGACCCGCATCCAGCACAAAAGGAAAACAAAGATCCTTTGCGCGGCCAGCGAAGCACCATTTTCCAGGTGCAACGATGGTTTCAGGCTACGATGCGGAGCGAAGTGCATCAGAGTATGCTCGTGGAGTGCCACAAGGCGGTGGAAGCCTTCTTACAGTCTTCTTACCACCCAACAGAACCCAAACGAACCTAACTTTGGAACCCTTCGTTATCATCTTCTCTTCGTTAACTGTCATCGCTTCTTTTGGGGATCCCAGACCGAGCAAGGTTGGCCTGAGGCCGGCGAACGAACAGAGGCCGGCAACCATATAACATGAAAGCAACGACGTTGGCCCCCGCGGCGCACGCGCCGTTTGGCAACGAAAAATGTGACGAACAATGTGGCTACGATAGAGGTACGTTTCTTAACATGGCAGATTCGATGGGGTTTCGGCTTGAAAGGGGCCATGGGCGCAGCATACTACTCCCATCTACTCCCACTGGACTTATTCCTTCTTCAAGCCTGGAAGTCCTTCAGCTCCGGCCGCAGGAACTCCACCTCAGGCCATCTACAGCTGATTGCTTTTTTGCTTCAGTGTTGCTTCGACACCTGGAGCTGCTCTTCCCTGTGCCCTGAAGACTCTGAAGACCCTTTTCGAAACCCCCTGCCTTGCCCCTGAAAAACCCTGCACCTTGGGGTCTCCCTTCCTCTCTCCCCTCTCACTGCATGCACCTGAACAGTGCCACAGAATCATCTTGCGACTCTGCTGCGATTGACTTAGGAAACAGCAGCTTGTTTCTGGTTGTCTGCATGGTGCTGCTCTTTTTCTGGCCTTCGCTCAGACCGTCCGAAATCCAACACTGGAAAGAGCATTGGAATAGCTAGAAAAAACCTCAACGCAACGGCGGCAACGGGGCAAGCGGGAAACGCCCGACGATGGCGAGCTTCTTGCGCGCCATGATCGCGGAGATATCTGTGTCCATTCCCATCTCACCAGCCTCAGCCTCCGAAGCTTCCGACACGGACAAAATCTTTGGGATGGTATTCTGCTCGAAACGTGACAAACAACCAAGCGCGCCCACATTGTCCAATATCTGCGAAGGCTTGGATGCTCCAATGATGGCTGTGCTGACGTTGCCATTGCTCAGAACCCACGCCAGAGCAAGCTGTGCTAAAGAACAGCCAAGTTCTGCAGCAATTGGTCGTAAAGCCTCGGCAACCGCAATCTCGCGATCCTTCTTTGCCAGGCTGGCTTTCCTCTCCACTGTAGCTGCCCGACTGTCAGTGGGAACGCCACTGCTGTATCTGCCTGCCAAAATCCCCTCGGCTAATGGGGAATAAACTGTCAACCCCAGGCCATAGCCATACAGTGGAGTATACTCTCTCTCGACACGCTGACGGTTGAACAGGTTGTAGAGAGGCTGCTCCATCACTGGGCCTTGCAATTTCAACTCCTTCGCGACTACGTACGCGTGGATCAGATCCTGCGCTGACCATTCGCTCGTTCCCCAGTAGAACGCCCAACCTCGGCTGGAGCTCCTTGGGAGCATCCCAAACAGCAGCTCTGTGGCTCTGTGGGCATTGTGGGCATTAGGGCTTTCATGGGCTTCCGCAAACAAATTGACAAAGCCAAGCAGCCACGATCCAATATGTAGTTCATGGCTCGGACTGTCTCCTCCATTGGGGTGGTGACATCCGGGCGGTGGCAAAACACCAAGTCCACATAGTCGAGCTTCATTCTTCTCAATGATGCCTGCATTCCTTCTACAAGGTGCTTTCTGGACAGACCGCGGTCATTGACGCCACTTCCACCATCAAAAATTTTTGTCGATATAACCAGATCAGATCGCCTCACCTCGCCTGCTGCAAACAAGACCTCCAGAGCCTTGCGGTCATATAGATTTCAAGTGAACATGGGCCCGGCGCCACAAAGAAATACTTGGCCCTGGTCAAGGGTACTACGGTGCTACAGCTCCTTAGGGATCTTACGACCCCATGCCCATTTCAAATGCCGCTGCCTGACCCATTATGTACTCGGATTCCCCTGGGAAGGCCCCATACACTTCCGCGTTGTCAATGAAGTTGATTCCAGCATGGATAGCCGTCCGCAGAATTTCAACCTCAAAGGTGGAATCAGACAAGGCAAGGACTGCGTGGAGAGTAAGTGCACTCCAGCTACTGCAGCCCCGCAGCATGTTTTTCCAATGTCACCTGGTCATCAGTACCAGCACACAGATCACACAAAAAATATCATTTTGAGAACAGCTTTGAACTGTTGGTCGGAAAACGCCCATATTAAGATGAGGTGCTGAGCCAGATTCAGAAACTGTGAGCCACGCACCATAAGAGATGGCCGACACTCGCAATCCAGAGTGGCCCAAAGGTCCTCAATTCTGCTTCAAGCACACTTGCAGCACATTTTGGGGATGATTTGGTTTGCCTAGATGCTCAGTGTCCCAAACAGTCCCGAAAGTTCTCAAATTATCGCGCCCTGGTTCGGCCAATGTTCTAGACTCGGCTCACAGAGTGCACAGAGTGGCGTTCCTGTGGGGAAGACCGTCTTTGATCTTGACTTCGGTTTTTGTACTTCATGCGCCGAGGTGGCGCAGATGTCATGGGATGTATATAACTTTGTGGTGCAGATACCCCAAAACGGGCAAAGCACAAGCGGAGGCCCTTGTGAACTCGGCGGAGAATGGCCATACAACTCCAGTGTACGCACAGAACTGCGGACTAGCAGATCTTGAGGCTCATATGAAAACATAGATGCGGAGGTCAGCCAGATGCCGAAAGGTGAGTCCCCTACGGACCTCACGGCAAGTGGAGGTCCAAGTCAAGCCTGTGCCTACAAGCGTCGCTGTTACAGATTTGACCCAGTGCACCGCTCGCCATTTCATCCAAACAACGTTGAACTCCTCAAAACTGTTCCTCCAGAGTAATTCCAGCTGAGCTGCTGTAGGCCATGGACGTGGCGCCCTTGGCACTTGGTCCAAGAGCAGCAGAATCTCCACAACCAGACCATGATGTTACAGTGGTTTTACAATGGTGTTACGGATGTTACAAGGATGTTGCAATCACAAGGCCACCAAAGTCTGCCCAGCCGCTGGGCTAAAGGGCGACTCATTCTGCCGGTCGCATGTTCCAGGGCCCAGCGCAACAGCCGCGAAGAGCTGCAGCCCAAGTGTGCCCAAAAGCATGGCATCAAAGGTTTGGCAGATGCTTTGAAGCAAGATGCTTGATGAATGTTCACTGCACTTTCATCATAGTAGAGGCACCTGTGACTGTCCAAAAAGCAGTACGACATAGTACGACAAAAGCTGGAGCTGTCCATGTTTAAAGCTTGTTGCGATGGAAGTTGAGAAGCTCTGGTGAAGCCCATCATCTCCCCTCAAGCATGAGGCTCTTGCTGGAAACACCCCCCTGTGGTGCGAATTGAAGGCGACGTTCGCGAACTGCAAAGCCTTGGAAGGCACTCACTACTGCAAGCTGCTTGCTGCAAGCAAGTGCCGATCCCAGAATCGCAGTAAGGTGCTGGCCTCTAGAACCCTTTGAGGGGCCTCCGCCAAGTGCAATTCTTGGCGTGCCACTGGACGCTCACAAGCCGTGTGCTGTATTGCAAAGAACAGCATGCGACAATTTGTCGCCAAGTTGACGCGATGTTTTCGACAGACCTCAACCACCTATTCCAATCGTTTTTGAAGGAGCACCCTGGAATGAGTTGTAAACTCTTGCAGGCTGGCCGGGGTTGGCTCTGGGGTACAGTAAGGGGGTGTCCCAAACTGCTGACGTCATGTCAGGAAAGGTCCAGATGTAGGAGGGTCCCAAGAGGCCTTTTCTCTCGTGTTTCTGGTGCAGCCTCTGTGAGAGCCAAAGGCCGGACCCTACGCAGCATCGGATTCTCGAGGACCATGGGCAGGTTTCACATTGGAGGAGGGGGCAGAACAAGGTTGGGCAGGAAGGAGACCCGATCCTGGTCTGCTTTGTTCCATCTCGACCGGGAACCGAGGCGAATTAGTTGCGAGTACACGTAAAAATGCTTGTTTGTTCGTTCTGGCTAGAACATGGAAAAAACTCAACCTGCGACATAAGCGACAGAAAATGCAGAGACAATGCTCCAGCAACTTTCACATGAACCATGCTAAGTATGACACATGACGCGTTCCGGCTGCTTCTCTTCCTATGAGCAACGCCCTTGTGGATCGCGAATGTGAATATTGTGCCTGCCTCCTTGGGTTAATGAAGTCAAACCACAGAAGCCTGTGCCTGCCTCTCTAAGTTGAACGTGGAAGATCGCAATGCTATGTGAGCTGGTTTGCTCTGCCCTGGCAGCAACGTGTGTTTCACATCCGGTGCGCGGATGCAGCCCTGGACGTCTTTCAGAGCCCACTGCGCACAGCCCGCCTCAGAAAAGAGCCGGGATGTGGTGGCCCTCTGCCTTCAACCAGCTTGCAATGGGTTGCAGCATCATGCAGCTCCGTTGCTCTCTCTGGCAGATGGCTGAACAGTTACTGAATCAACTGGCATCTCGAGACCTAGCCGCTGCGCCGGGCGCAAGACTGCAAGTGCACCGGCAAGTTCACATTCTCGGCCCTGCACAGCTGAGACAAGAAGGTGCCGTGTTCAACGTGTTCAACATGTTCAACCTACAGTATCCTTTGCTTTTAGAACATGGCAGCCCCGCCTAAATCCTGGAAGGAGACTCTTTGGCGACATGGCTGCGACCTTCAAGCTGCGAATTCTCCGAGGATCCAAGACATTCTTGAAAGTTGGGCGTTTGTTGGGAGTTGGGACTTTTGAGGGAAGCCTATGGTTGGTGATTTGCTTCGAGGCATGTTTGGGTTTAAGCGCATTTCGGGCCAGATTGGCCTGCCTGTGCTCACGGTTCCGTTTTGAAAAACCTCCCTTGGAGGAGCCTGGCAGCCCGCAATGCTGTTTCCTACGGCGCGTTTCAGCCTAGAAGCGGAAGTTCGAAAAGTCCCTTTTTCGAGTCCCCAAGTGCTCAGGTTACAAAATGTTACAAAGCCCTGGGAGAGCCCTCAAACTCTCGTAGAAATCCCTACGTCAGCGTAGGGCCAGGCATCTGTGCACATGTCCAGCCAAAACGAAAAGTACGATCCGAAAACGCCTGCTGTCGGGCGCCGTTTGTCAAAGCCAACCTCATGGTCTCATCGCAGCGTCCAGATGCTTTTTGAATTTTGTTTGGCTAGATTTTTGTTGTTGCTGCTGGCTGCACCGTAGCCCTTTAGGGTTTAGGGTTTTTGGTTTTGGGGTTTAGGGTTGTTGGGTCTTGGGTTGTTGGGTCTAGGGTTTAGGGTTTAGGGTTTAGGGATGTTTAGGGTTTAGGGTTTCGGGTTTAGGGCTTAGGGCTTTGGGCTTAGGGCTTAGGGTTAGGGTTTAGGGTTTAGGGTTTAGGGCTTAGGGTTTAGGGTCTAGGGTCTAGGGTTTAGGGTTTAGGGTTTAGGGTCTAGGGTTTAGGGCTTAGGGCTTAGGGCTTAGGACCGAAAGCGGAAAAGCACAAAGCAAGAGGCAGAAAACACAAAAATGAATCCTTAAAAAAATCATAGTCCTCTCATGGCATCGAAACCGTGATCTCGGTTTGTCGTGCAGCCGCCATGCTCGTTTGGCCAGTGTCCCGTTAACGTCACTCACCATCCACAAATGGCATGACCCAATTCTGCCGCCACAACGCACGTGTGTTTTGTCACGCATCTCCCCCGGCCAAGGCTCCACTGTTGTTTCAGCAGCCGTCAGCCGATCTCTCGTTGTACATTTCCCGTTTCGAAAAACGGTGCGTTTAGCAAGTCTCCTGTGCTTGCATATGTGATCAAACTGCTGGGGATGCCACCATCCACTCAAAGCCCAAGCAGGTTCCCCAGACAGGGAAGACCTGGCCGGCCTGAACGGTGTGGGGGCATCGTCTTTGTTGACTTTTGACCCGTTCCCTGCCTCGAACATGCGTCTGGAGTGCTCAAGCACCCGAAGTGCAGCAGGAGGAGGATCCATGTCCTGCCCTCAGCACTGGAGGACATCATCATCTCGAGCGAAGGCATGTCCACAAATGGCTACGCAGACCCTCCGGCCTCCAGTGAACAAAAACCCGTTCAGTGAGCCAAGGAGCTTGGCCATCTGCACAGCGACAACTTGTGTCAAGGTACGTGAACTGCACAATGGAGTTGTCTTCAACTTCGCCGGCCAAGCCTCTGTGTCACTTGCACTGGACCTCACCGGCCTAGCAGGCATGACTTTTGCGCAAGAGTCATGGGAGGAATCAAGAAACTGAGGCGAAGCACACGACTTCCCCACCAGCCGATTGGATGAACCGCACGTACGATGCTGGCAGAGCCTTCAGCACAACTGCCAAATCTCCCAAGGACCGACATTCAAGAAACTTGCCTCACAAGATGGCGACGATCCGCAGTTGTGCCTGGCAGCAATGTCAACATCGGCTTCAAAGCCAATGAAGATAACACAGGCAGGGGCACGGATCTGTCGGCAATGAAAACATGCCGATGATGGGACTGCCCTGGCAATCTCAGCTCACCATACTACAAGAATGCCAGGCTTGATCGTGGCAACTAACCCATGATTTGGAGGGTCCCACGGCGAAGCACTGCGAGGGTCAAACTAACGTGACATCAAATATGACATCAAAGCCACATCAAAAACCAGGTGGTTATACATTTCATCTGGCTATTACCAGGGACCTCGTGTTTTTTCAGATTTTGATGAGAATGCCGATATTTCCTGGAGCTGTAAGGGCGAGAACCCCCCCCCTCGAGACGTCAATAGGAAACCCTACTACAAAGCCTATGGACTGCCACAGGAACGTTGAACTTTCTGCATTCACTATGCAGCTGCACCGGCAAATATCAGAACTAGGCATCGCCTGCAGCCCTGAACATGTTTACTTGAAGAGGACGCCGACACAACTTGCAAACAGAATGATCCTAGGATGAGGGGCTGGCATGTGCTTTGTCGGAAGTTTAGGGTCCAGCTCGGTTGCAAACAGCCTAATTTAAGGCAGGTGCGGCTGTGAAATCCGCCAAGGCCGGAGGCCTGACGCGTTTAGATCCAAGTGTAGGAACCGGCGCGGTCCGCCCATTCTTTTGGCCCGGAATGGGTACCCCCCCGTAGTCGACCTGTATCCAGTCGCGGCCGACGTGCCCGGACCAGGGGGGATTTGGGCCGAGGTATAGGGGGCGGATGCGAGCGTTTTCGGCTTTTGAGCAGAGCCAAGCCAAGCCTGAGCCCTAAGCCAAGCGCTACCAAGCCCTACCCTAGCCATCCCTACCCATCCCTACCCATCCCTACCCATCCCTTCCCATCCCTCTACAGTCTTCCTACATGTGCTTGGCCTTTCTCCGGGTCGCGCTCCAGCCGCACTGTGGGACGTGAGTTCGTGATCTCTTGAGCTAGCAAGTCCAACAGCACACAGGCCAACCACACTTGGGCTGAGGAATGTAAAGCGAAATTATGTCAATGTTGTGGCTCTTGCTGCTGTGACAGATCTATGTTTTCGAACGATGGGCTCATTCTGTTGACTTGCTTCAAGATTTCCCAGTTGAGATTTTCAAGTGTCTCTCCGTCCGGGCTCCACGGCCAACAGCAACTCACCCGCCCTCCCCCATCATCAAACACGGCCCCCTGCACTGCATCCCCGAAAATTCTACAACCTGGTGTAAGCTTCAGCTGCCATGCACCACAACATGTTGCCATGCATCATGCATCACATGGCTCTTGAATGACCCACGCCGTCAGTTGCCATGACTTGCCATGGCATGCCACGCCTCTTCGATCTGCGAATCTGCTCCGAGAGTGAATGGGGCAAAGAGGGCAAAGAGGGCTAACCAGATGCACCTCAGCCCCCCTGTCCTCACTCTCCCCCTCTCGCATTGCAAAGGTCTCTCGGCACGCCTCGGAAGATGAAGCATGCTGGGCCGCAGGAAAGGCTTGAAGGCTGCACAATGTGTTCCGGATCTCCAAGCGCTTGAGACTTTTGTGGTCTGTCTGCATTGTTGTTGCACATTTTGATCAGTCGTGTTGAGTCCGCACTACTGCTGGATCACGGAGTGTGCTGGACAAAGTCTCTCTCCCTGTCTTGTCGTGCTTAGTGTCTTACTTTGTTCTTACAACTGTGATACTTGATACATAAAGACTAAGACACTTGAACAGACGGGGCGAGTGGATGTTCGAAGAATATGCGCACCACCACAAGGCTGCCCAGCCTGAAGGGAAAACCACCGGTCCTCAGCCACAGCCTCCCTTTGGGGAGGTTCACGCAACTCCACACGACAATTTGCAAAACGCTCGGTCTGAAACGGTGCCATTGTCGGGCCTCCAGAGAGTTTCTAGATGCCTCAGCCAGCGCTCCGGCTCAATCTCGACACTGTTTTTGCAAGTTAGGCAATCAGTTGCAACATGTTGCAACTGCGTTTCATCACTTCTCTGTACCTGCACTTTTGGATATCCTGCTTACTGTTCTTACATGGTTTGAGTGGATCTTCAGTGGTCCAAGGTTTCAAGGCTAACTATCCAAATCCTTGACGCTTCGCGAAGTTCATAGGGTTGCCACCACATCAGGTCGGCCCGACTGTGGTTCTGAGGCTTTGCCGTGCTTTGGAATGACTCTCGCTTCCCACTCCCAATCCTCCAAACTTCAAGCTTCAGGCGAATCCGAAAGCGCCCCGAAGCAGGCTTGACTATCGTGGCTGTGCACACAACGTCTACGACTCAGCAATGGCTAGGCCGGCTGGGCTACAAATTATTGAACGCGAGGTGCCACCTGAACACGGCCCGTTGAGCCAGCTCTTCCTGATGTGGATGCGGTTGTGCCGGGTGTGCTGGACCCACTCTGCGAGGGCACAGGTGCCTGTCCAACAAGATTTGTCAACGGCAAACCATCGCAAAACCGGGCAAAACCGCTTGCATTTTCTTGCCCCAACCTGACGGCCGCTGACAGGAGCCGGCGCCTGGCAACGTTGAGTTTAACGCCGGTGACTGCGTTGTGCTTCCCATACCGCACCGAGTCATACCGAGCCAGGTTGACCACCCTCACTGGGTGCGGCGCTGGCCTTCCTTGCACAACATCAGATACGTGAGCATGCTGCACGTTGCTTCGTAAACGGCCTCCACCATTCGCGGCTGTAGCCATCCTTCGCAGCATGCAGCAGCTGCTGAAGCTACGGCCAAGCTCTGCAATGCTTGGCTTCGCACAGTGGGGGTATTGCCGCATTTGCGTCAGCGGCCTTGCCTGGCAGAGTTGTCTGTGACGTGCCGGCATAGCAAGAACAAGAAGAACCTGGCTCGACTTGCCCGGTGCCAGGCCAGGCAGGCCCAAACTTGCAAAGCACGGCCCAACTTGCCTCGCGTCTCAGTTTGCACACAGCTGTCGCAACCATGTCAGCTGTGCATTGTCTCGACTGAGGGCTGTTCACTGGGTTCATCGCACATTGAGATGGGCACACGTTCCAAGTCTTGACGGCAGTAGTACTGCAGTTACTACAAGCTGTCATATACAAGGTCGGACGATGGAAACAATGTTCTGGCATGCAATTCTTCGTGAAGGCATCAGACCACAGATCTGACAAGTCGTACAGAGTTGATTTGCAAGCTGCTTCTTCGAACCTAAAACCTAGAAACCCAAACACCTTGCGCAAGACAAACGTGCGCAGTAGCCCCTGCTTTGAACTGTCAACATGCAGCTGGATCCAAAGGCTGCATGGCAAAATCACCGTAGTTGTGATTCAACCTTTAGGGATACTGCGCGTCGACCTCCAAGAAATGCACGTCGGAGGAGCCGCAAGTCCCAAACTGTTCATCTACCGTCGGTTCTTTGACACGCAACCACATTGCGCTTGTTCCTCCATCTCCTGCCATCTCTGAGCTATGTTGGACAAGCTTCCACAAACTCTGTTGTCCCAGCCTCAGCACGACGCGCAAAGGGCTCTCCTCTGAACTTTGAAGTCATCGGTATCAATAGCTGAATGGCTGCAATCGAGGGGTCCTGCTCCTCAGCGTCGTTCACGAGTCGGTGCCTCCAGCAATCTCCAGCACTCACATGATCTCACTCCGAGGAGCTCAAGCAGTTCTGTGCAGTCCTAGATGGTCCTCGAAGACAAAGACAACGGGTTTGAGATGGTTTTGATTAGTCGCGACAGTCTTGGCAGCACTAGGCAGCGCAATCAGGCTGGGCAATTTCGGCAGTTGCTACAAATCGCTTCATCATTGTGCACATACGCAGGTTGCCCCATAACAAAGAAGCTCCGCCGTCTGGTCCTTTGTCTGACCATCGACCAAGTAGAGTCGCCATTGTGGTAGCACTTTTCAGCTTCGATTCTGACTCGACATTGCCAGACTGCGCAATTGCTTGGAAATTCGAACTGTACCTCTTGGTCCACCTTGAAGGTGGCAGACTGACGTAATGCAGCTTCACATGCCCCAGCAACAAATGCTGCATGCTGTGTATAAGCCTGTAGCTCCAGTCCATGTCATGCCAACATATGCCAAAAGTGACTCACGCTCCGCGTCCAAGCTCGCCAGCTTCCCGAACACGCAGATGACTGATGACGATCTCGATGGCCACTGGAGCCAAAGCAGTTTCTTTGCTTCACCATCTACGGCACTACGCTGGGCCTTCCCAGATCTGGCCGTTAATGTAAGAGTTTCTTTCTGAATCGATATGCAGAGATGCGGGGAGGCATTTGCAGGATGCGGGTGCGCTGTATGGCCTTGAAAAGGGGGAGGGGCGAGTATGAAACATTGACAACACGACGGGGAACCAGTTGCTAGAGACAAGTGTCGCACAAGTGTCTATGCTTCAATTACCGACAGAAACCAGCTTCTGTAAGGGCACCTCGGATCCAGGTAGGCTAGTTGAACAAGTCCAATTCGGACGAAGCCTGTACGTGAAAGGCCTAACCCGATCCTAGACGACATAGCATGGCGGGAAGCAAGTCCATAAAGCCCTTCCTTTCGAGGACGTGCGGCCTGCTAGTAAAGTGCGTGTACCTCCGATGAAGCACCCGAGGCTTGTACTAGCACCACTGTCTATTTCATCTCCAGTGCCCAGCTATGCCTGAGGCTCAATGTAAGCGCGAAGTAGCAGATGCCATTCCGCCATCGACCTGCTATGAACTCAGACGGATACGGATGATATGGCAGGGCACCTGCCTAGGGGAATACAGACTGTCCAAGCTCTGTGTGCAAAAGATCCATCCGCATCTGCGGAGTCATGTCTAGGACAAGCATTCTCTCTACATGGGCTTGGAAGAACCACACACACACCGCGATCCTGTCGAGTGACTCGAGTGAAGACTCAGCTCCAAGATTCAATGTAATATGCCAGGATGCTTGAAAGGCCCAAGTCTGTGAACAGTCAAATGCCATCAATACTCGTCAATATTGCAAGTGCAAATGATCGCTGATAGCTGTTTGTTCCAAGCCACATCCTGATCAAAAATAGACCAACAAGACACAGCGAAAAAATGCATAACATGGAATACGGCAGCAGGTGGCTTGCAGTACACGCAGCAAATGATGGCCGCATCGATGAAGCTATCGCGGATCAGCCACCAATACGACAAGTCAACCATGTTTGTGCATGCTCCTAGTCCTCCAGTACACCGAAGGCTGCATCGCACATTATCCAGCCAAATCAAACGTCCGTGTCAACCCCCGAAGCTTGTGGTGGTGTCTGCCACTTGCCACGTACTTCGTCATGTCAAGGTATACGGCTATACAGAGGCAGCTGAAGAATACAACAGCCATGGAATAAATATCTCGATGGCTCCACCTCGCATCCAGTTCGGCAACAGCAAATTCAGCTTCTCGCCGGGTCGCATATTCAACCTGGGCATACGCAACATTGCGTTTGGTAACCACAGAGGGCTTGCCAAAATATCCGAAACTGTCCGAACAGCGCCGGGATCATCGCCCAACCACGCTTTGGCTTATTTGCTTCACCGAACAATCTCAGTGCCAGCACCTGTCAAAAACATCTTCCAAGAGTTTGCAACAGGATGGCACAAGTACCCACCTTCCCATACGCAGAGGCAGTGTCCTGGCGGGAATCCAGCTGTGAACAGTAGCCTTGCGATGCTCCGCAATGCTGTGACATGCCGTCCTTCAGCTCTGTCTCCTCCATGTCGTAAGGGAGTTGCGAGATGTTCACCCGAATGCTGGCTCCACGATCCTGAAATCCCCGCCCATTTGCTGAGTCCGCTTGTTTCAGAAGATGTGCAAAGTAAGCCCTCGGCTTGGACTGGGGCTCTGCGAGGTGAGCGTGAGGCTCGTCTACCAACATCATCCCCCCTGGGTGGACCTGGACAACACGAGACGGATCCTCTCGGGAGCCTTTCGGCTCAAGAACAGGATGCCAAGAGACTGATTTCATCTGATTCATTGAGAAAGCTGAGAAAGCTGATAAAGCTGAGACAGCTCTCAGGCAGATTCCAGCCGCTCTGTAGGCTGCACGCCGCTCTGGAACAGGATCCCTGTCCTGTGAACTGCAACGCAACAAAAAAATAGAAACAATAACTCGGACGAAACGCATCAACCCTCCAGACTTCGGATGAGCTCTGGACATGTCGGGGACCGACATCTCGAGCATCCCGCCCTCCAGCACTGCGAGGGGGATCTTCCCGGAGACCTCCACAGGGTCCACAGAGCCCACAACACTGACATGCTCATGAGATGCCATACAGACCAACCGTGAAGTAGTAGCGCCGCGCGGCACCGCCGCGCACGCCGTTAGCAACAAGATCTCTTCCAAACTTCATGGACATTGACTGTGAGAAACTGCACCCAATCTTGCCAGGATAGAGCCTTTACAGTTAGGCATTAGCCCGTGTTAGCGGTTAGCGTCGATTTTGTTACTACATGGTGAGGAAATTGAGGGTAGCTCGGGCGATAGACCAGAGCAACGCACACGCAGGGAAGCTGCAAAGATGTTTTTGCAGTAGCTGTGTAGAAAAGAACTTGAGAAGGGGCTACGAAAGCTAGTCACCGCAGGGGGGTGGCATGCAGCGAGTCGGCAGGACTTGGAGCCGCCGGCGCAGCTTTTTCCGTATTTCAGGCACATGCTTCAGGCGGCGGCGGCCCTAAACTCGAAATCTGAAGCCCTAAACTCCTTCAGCCCCCTTGCTTCCCCCGCTGGAACCCCGTGTCGCAAACGAAGTTTAGGTACAAGGACGCTGTTCAGTACGACCTCTGCAAAGTACCACAGACCTTCAGAGCATGGTGACTGTGGGGGGCGGGGGAGGACCTTGGGGTGGGGTGGGGGGGGACCTTGTGGGGGGGGGCGGGGAGGGGACCTGAAGGTGGTAGGGGGGGGGCCCCCCCCCCTACCTTATCCCACACGCAACCACCTTAAAGGAGGGGGGGGGGGGGGCGCCGGCACCTTATCCTTCGAAAATGCTTCATGGTGAGGTGAGGGGGGGGCCCCCCCCCCCCAACCCCACCTTAAGTCTTGGGTTTCGGACCTGTTAAGGTGTGGAACCCTTTTTTTCCCTGGAAGCTTCTTAACAAGGTGAATACCAGTGCATGGGTAAGCGACAACTCCCGCCAGCTCCACAGAGCTAGCTTTCGTGATCAGTCTCGAGGGCTGAAAGGATCGCGGTGCAGAGCAAACACCAGATTGCATCAAGGTGCATCTACTTGTACACGTACTTTAGCCAATACTCAGACGAAAATCGAAGAGAAAGACGGACGGAGGCAGAAAAGAAGAGAGCACAAATTCGACTGGGAGAGTAAAGACGAAGCAAAAGCGCATAGCCCTCAACTGCCAGCGCATAGGGCATGTTTAACCTCTCCCTCCCCATCTTTACGTAGCTGGCAAAAGTTTTCGAAAGCTGCAGTGGCGGACCCGAGTTTCGGTCAGTACACGTCCTCACAAAGTTTAACTCGACAAAAGGCGCACGGGAGTGAAGGAAGTAGAGTACCTTTTGGACTGAACTCCCTCCCATGAGCACATGTATGGTTTGCGACTGTGTCGGCTCTTCATGGCGTATCTGCTGTGGCGGTCTTGGTTTCCACCAGCTTCTTTACGGTGACACAAAAATTTCGAGGGAAACTTCTCATCCCCTTGCGGGTCGTGCTCGGGCACGGCAAGTGTCTTTGGGTGACTTTCATTGTCTTATAGAAACCCTCCAGCATTTCCGTTCGAACACATTAGCAGTGTCAATGCTGATGATTTCGGGTAGCTTTGGCTTGCAGCTCTGGCTGATGCTCACCACTTTGATTTCTCTCACTGTCAAAGCGGACAGGTCCAAAACCATTCATCCCACCCGCTCCAGCGTATCACGAAATTCCAACTTCTAGATGGTCCAGGATGCTGTGTCAAGGCATCTGCTGGGTTCTGTGTTCCAAGTACATCATCCACTAACACCCATCTCGCATAGCTGCAGTGCCTCAACTTCGAGTTCCACATCGCCTCGACTGCAGGACCGGCACTCTAATCAGCCCGTATCTTGAAAAAGTAGAATCCTCTACATTTCGCTGTGCAAGAATTTCGAGCTGTACCCTGCTTGGTTGGGTCGAACACGAATCGACCACCCCAAACAGGTTTGTAAAGTGTAAAACCCGTCTCTAAGGACACATCTCGCGAGTTTCTTTACAGCGCAAGTCGGCCTGCATTCCCCGACTGCAAGTGACTTGGCAACTGTTTGGATGCAATGCAATGTCTCTTCGATGGAAGGCAACGAATTTTCTTAAGACTCTCATTGCCACTCGGGAGCCGGGGTTCGAGCTCAGCCGAGATCCTGAAAGAAATTGCAATACTTTACTTTCCCTCGCCACCTACGAGGCATGAACGCGAGATGATAAGCTGTGTCTTTTGCCGGGGCCTGAACAAGATCTCCACTACATGTTCGTGTTTGGTTCGCACTTCGGATGAAGCTTTTGAAGACTTTGAAGCTCTGAAGCTCTGATGGTTTTGTCGTCGTGCTTCGCTTGAAGCCTGAAGCTTGAAGCTTTTAGCTTCGCGCTTCGCCTGAAGCCTGAAGCCTGAAGCTTCTGTCTTCGCGCTTCGTCTGAAGCCTGAAGCTTTTCGCTTCGCGCTTCGCCAGTAGCCTGAAGCTTGAAGCTTCCGTCTTCGCACTTCGCCTGAGGGCTGAAGCTTTCGGCTTCGCGCTTCGCCTGAAGCCCAAATCTTCTAGCTTTCGCGCTTCGGCGGAAGCTTTTAGCTTCGCGCTTCACCTGAAGCCTGAAGCTTGAGGCTTGCGCTGAGCCTGAAGCCTGAAGCTGCTTCACGCTTCGCTTCAAACGAAGCTTCTCTGGCATGCAATCCAGGAGAGGATGACACGCCGGACCCCCTTTCATTGCGGCCAATTGTTGATATGTGTTGATGTTTTGTGTGTTGGTCCAGCAGGTGCAACTTGCCTCGATCATCTCTCCGACCCAAGTCCGCGCGGTACTGTCGGCCTGCTGTCCAATCACGAGGTTTCTGACCCAATTTTTCTACCGCAAAGGCCTTGTCGGCCGTCCCTACTGTCGCCACGATGACTTGTGCCTGCGGGAGCCCGTGAGATTCACATTTGGCATCTGAAGCCACGAAAATCGCCGGAGCCACGAATTAAGTCCGAGCGGCGCTCTGCTCTAGAGCGCATGCCGTCATCACGGGCACCTTTGCCACCTGCTGCTCTTCGAGAGCTCAAACTTCCAGTTGAGCTGGCAGCTAGACAAAGCAAGCATGACAAGCCCACCTCGAGGCGGCCCCCTGCAAACCCCGCGCAAGAGACGCTTGAGACAACGCAGGAGACACTAACGAAAAACTCACACTCGTGGTATGTGATGGCACGTGGTATGGTAGGGAGCTACAGGGGCCCCTCCCGGCCTCTCCGGCCGCTCCTGCCTCTCCGGCCTCTCTGGCCGCTCCTGCCTCTCCGGCCTCTCCGGCCTCTCCGGCCTCTCCGGCCGCTCCGGCCGCTCCGGCCTCTCCGGTCGGTCTCGCTCGTCTCTTCGCGGCACATCCTGTGTACTGCTCTGACACAAAGACCGCATGCTGATCCAAGACAGAAGCCTCGTAGGCACGACGTCGATCATAGTCGTCACGCCGATCGTAGCCTCGCCCACCATCGTTGATACCGCGGTCCTGCCCAAGTTAAAAACAACTTCACACTCCACACGCATAACCCAAAAGAAGCTCTGTTTTGACATTCTTCTTGAGGCTCTGAGGTAAAGCGGCTGCGCAACATTCCGCAACTGTCCTAAACATACCCGACATACCCAAACGTGTGTCCAAAGCGCATGCGCTCCTCGTAAGCATAACCTCGTTGAGAGCCTCGGCCCTTTCCTTCGTCTTTGCCTTGGATGTAAGGACGCCCGCAGAGGCTGAGAGAATCCTCTCCCGTGTGTTTTATATGGGGCGGGATTTTGCCAAGTGGACTAACTGACTTGATTTACGTAGCTCACGGCTCGCTTTGCTATCTGCAGGCTTCAGTGTTGCAATTGTGCGTTTCCCCGCTGCTTTGCTGATAACAGCTTCCCACCTCCCGCGAAACAGCGACTTGCGTGTTTGGGCTCAAGGCTTGGCACTCCCCCCATCCCGCTTTCCTTTCCGAACGCAAAACCACGCCCTCCTGCGAAATCCGCTGCCCAATCACATCTTCTTGAGGTGCAAGACTCATGTCTCTCTTATATTGGAGGGTTTCGTCACAAGGGCCCCCTGAATGCTCGAAATTGCTCGAACTAGGAACTCGAGATGCGAAAATAAACACAAAAAGAATCCAAATGAACGGCCACGCCTAAAGCCGAAAGTAAACTCGACTATACCCATCTGGCTGTCGGAACAAAAAGGGATCTACAAAAACAGCCGCCCACCGCTGGCGTTGGACAAACTGGCAGGCTGCTAAGGCTGCAACTTACAGTTCCTTGTTCACAAGCTACAATAGCGGCCTGTGACTCATTGGGAAACTTGATTTGAAGCTTCTCCGTGGTGGGCACTCCCAGGGGCACATTAATTAGGACATGCTTCGGCAAGACAGCGCTGCCAGCTACTAGTATCTGTCAAGTCGCCGCGATCGTAGTAGTCCGCAGCCTTGTTGTTACCTCGATCACGATCATCATATCTGCCGCGATCGTCTCGGTCTCTCTCCCCTCGGCTAGGGTATGGATCTTCGCGACGACGGTCACCATCACCTGGAATCCGGAAGCACCACCGACAACTTCGAGGGCAGCTTGCAAGAAACCATATTTGGATATATTTGGGCAAGTGGCGGCGGTCGCTTGAAGTCCAGTCCCTGTCACGATTGTCACGCCCTCCCTTGTCTCTGCCCTTTCCATCTCGTCGCTCTTCGTCAGCAGCGCCTGCCACGCAAGCTCATCAGCTTCTGCGCCTGTGTTGATACCTCCAAGGCTTGAACGGGAACCACGTCGATCGTCGTCTCGTCTGGCCTCAAAGGGTACCCACACCACTCGCCAATTTGAGTATCCTCAGACGCAAAGCCCGCACCTCGTCCCAGCGATCAGGCCGCTCAGATCGATCAGAGGCTCGCGGCTTGTCCTACAAGGCTCTGGCCCAAGAAAGCAGAGAGAATCAGTGTCGCGAGTGAGCATCCCATCATGGTGCTGCGAAACGATCAAAAACGACCAAGAGACTCTACGGATACTGAGAACATAATAGAAAGTTGCAAGTAAGCTCAGCCAAGCGACACTCGTAGCACCCTTGCCCTCGAAGCGTCGCGTCGCCGGAGCCGCCTCTCAGAAGCCCAATGCAATCCCTACACAAAAAAAATCACGGAAATGGCCATCTCACGTCTGGCACGGTCAGGGCACTTTTTGGGTTAGACAAACATTATTCCCATCTTTTCCTGTGCTTGCTGGTTGAAACCACTTAGCCTGCTCAAGAGTTTCTGGCTTCTGGATCCCTTGCGATGCATGAACCTAGCTGGGGCCCTGGGGTGGCCATAGTTCAACATTGGAAGGCTCAATGGGCGGAAAGGCTTCTCAGAGCTAGCCTTGAGATCAGGGCCACGAAAGCTAGACAATGCTTTTTCGTCGGGCGCAAGGGTGGAGCCCATGGTCCCAATCCCATCCGCAGCCTGACAACGAGGAATCATGTGGGGGCCGTACTGGGGGGTAGGAGCGGTGGGGAGGGGCATGCCACGACTTCAAGTAGCGCTTGACTTGAATGGTCCGGGGGGGGGGGGGGAACCCAAGCTAGTGAAAGTGGTCTTTTCGGGGAGGACTGCGCGTACATGTAACTATTGAAATATCAACCAGATATATAAGGCCTCGACGAAGTGAAGAAATGAACTGCCCAATACCGCTTTCGGAGATCATCCTAAGGCAACAAAGAACCCTGGAAAATTCAGGGCGATGTCGTAAGCTGTCTTTACGAGACAGGTCAGACAGATTTTATGAGGAGTGAAAGGACGCATGAAAACCAAGCGAAAAAGGAAGAAAGGGAACATGCTGCGCTCATGCGCTCTTTATTCTTCATTCGCTTAGTCCCCTAGCATTGTAGCACATTAAAGGGGTTTTGATTATGGTTTTTTGTGTGTGTTTTCATGCACAAGCCCACCACGAAAACTTTACTTGCGCTGGAATTGCGATTAATAATGTAGCTTTTTGCGGCACAGTATGAATAGTATTTTATGCCGCATTATTAGTATTAATAATTCCTTATCCGTGGCACGAAGAGAGTACTAATAGAAGCCCCACAAAGTATATTGCATTTACAAGCGAGCGACAAAAGCTGACCTGCGGCCCATAATAATATTTGTGAGGGCCTCTTACTATTCGCGTTTGCCGCACGCGCAATATTGTCTTTACTAGCATGCGAATAATAGCAATAATGTGGGATTTTTCTGTAGTAGTAATAATTTGGCTTTCCTGTAAATATACTTTTCTACGGGAGCATGAAAGGTCTTGTAGACAGCGGCCGACAATGAGGATACAATGTTAACGGTGAAGAAGACGTAATTAGCAAGATTGCAAGGGAGTTCACGGACGCCTCGGAAATTGGGTGGCACGCGAGGGTGGGCTACGGATTCCCTTAGAACGGATGGGACGAACACAGCGAAATACAATGTATTCGCACCGTGAAGCCATGAACTTACTATTGCTATTGGCTCACGGAGCGCATTCCTTCACGCTGTTCACTCATGCGTTTACTAATCATGCAAGCGAAGAAAAGAGGTTTAACCCCTCTCCCTGTCACACCTTGAGACCCTCACTCTCATAGTGTATTTTACGAGTCTAACCACCGGCTTAGAGACCAGGCCAGCCACGGTCAACAAATGACTGGTGAGCATAATATGCTCGCCAGTTAATGTTGTTTCTTCTATCACCTTCTTTGCTTCCTTTACTATGGCCCGTTGAATAATTTTATGCCTTTCTTTCTATACTTCCTCATCTTGGAAGAGGTAGATCGTATGCTTCACATTTGTATAATCCGGATGCTTGGCTTTCTGGATTTGTTTCTGCTTCTTCTTAATGGAAACAGCATTTCTGGGTTACTTGCTTCCTTTAGGACAAATGAGGAGTTACAGTAGGTACAAATGAATTATCTCATTTGCCATCTATCATAGAATGGCTTTGTGGAGGACATTGCATTTACAATATTCCTTTCGTTATTGGTAAAGATTTCTATGGAAAGACCGCAATTCTCAATCTGTATTCTCTTCTTTCTCACATCCAAATGATGCATTAGAAGCATGCGGAGTACTTACTCCTTTGCATATAAAGTACCTGAATGGGTCTTTCTTATGCCAATTTGCTATGTAAGCTGTACTAAATAAAATTGCAGGATTCATTATCTTATCTATTTCTATCTTCATCCAAGAGAATTGTCGACCACAATAGACCACAACGAGACAAAGCTCCAATTGGAGCTAGCTTTCGTGACTAGCGTGCGTGTTGCCTGCCAAGGGTACCGCACTCTTGCGGCTCGTCTGCTACTTTCGAGCGCAGTCAGGAAACGGAAAGCACAAAAGTCGGTCAGAAAAACATGGACGCAGACAGCGCAAGCACACCAAACCCAACCCATGCCAGCGCGAGCGACACGAGCAATCTAAAGTCCAGAAGAGAAGTAGTGAATATAGAGAAGACCATAGAGGCAACACACACGATCAGTTCACAACGAGATCATCACGGCAAGTGCAAGAACTGACGAAATGGGACATCTACGTGGCGCCGGAACACCAGGACCCTCTCCCACATCTGAAGTAGCGGGGTCTGGCCTTGCAGATTCTTGGAGGTACGAGGCAAGCCATGGGGATGGAATACGGAGCAGATCAGGAGGTTACCCCGAAGCAAAAGCCCAAAGGCCCTCTGGCACTGGCGGCCCAAAAGACTCTTCCAGCCAACAGATACAAGTCTGTTAGGCCTTAGGGCTCCACATAAAAGCACGGATGAGCACTTTGTGCAGCTGGTGCAGCTTGTCGGAGGGCAGGCGAGATGATGAGGGCGAGGTTTTTGTCGGAAACGGCTGGACCCGCAGCCGGTCGAGAAGGTCATGTCGACCTGCGCATTGGTGATGACCATGCTAATCTCATTGATGTGGCGACCATGGGGAAGTCATGCTGGCGGCGATGCTGTGCATGGGCTGCTGGTTGAAGCGTTGGACCGGCGAGCAGTTGGCTTCCCATCTCAGGATTTGGATGCGGGTGAAGCCTTCTGGCGGCAGGAAATCAACCGCCCTGAAAAGGAGAAGTGCCGGATGGGCGCATTCTGCCAACCGCATTCTCCAGTACCGGAGTCCCGCCCAAGCGAGTCTCGGCTGAAGAGTATCAAGTGCTAAAAGCATGTTAAGAAGCCTTGAGCGCTCGGGTGAGGATGGGCAGGAAGAAGAGCTAGGGGGGGAGGGGAGCGGAGGCGGGATGCGTTTGGGTTGTATTTGGCGGTGAAAAGGACAATACGCACGCACAAGTGTGCTACACAACCTGTTCAATCTTCACACCATGCAGCGCGGGCCACCTCGCACGCTCAAGCATTTCAATTCTTGCAACGCTCAAGCACCACAGCCGGCCACGACATCAATCGATACAACCGGATGCCCTTCAAATCGAAGAGCATTGCTTACTCGTGATGCCACAGCCTTGATGACACCAGATCCAAAGGACTTGCTTTGGTCAAGTCCCTGGATGGCATCCTGTCGCACCATGTCACACCGCTATGCACGGTTATGCACAGTCGCATGCTGTGCAAATCTGTGCAACGCACGATCTCCGGGCTTTACAAACTGCACCTGCGCATGTTCCAAGCGCGAGTAGGTGACGAAAACGAAGGTGTCCCTGTCTGAATGCTTGATGTTGACGTCTGCGACAGCACCATACCTGTTTCTGACAGCATTCCACACAGCAGCGAAGGTAGGTGGCCGATATCGACCAATCATGTCGACGGCCGTGGTGCCTGCAACAGACGCTGTCCACCTCGCTCTCCGTGATGTCTCGGGGAAGACCGCCCAGCCAAATGCCTGAGTGCCGCAATCAAGTAAGGCTGCTTTTGAGCGATGGATTTGCTAGCAACCTGCCTTCATCAGATTTTAGGCTGCGGACATGGCTTGGTCAGCTCGGTAGGCCTTGAAAAAGTACGACCCCCAATTCTGTCATTACTGATATTACTGAGTCACCACAGGTATCTGCAACGTTGAGCAGGAGACACGCCGCCTTTCCCCTTGCGTCCATAGCCTGTGCCAACATGATGCTGACATGATGCTGACATGATGCTGGCATGCTTCCACTCGAAATCTGGCCAATCACAGCCTGCATCATCACCTCGGCAAGCATTCGCCCTACTTTGCAGAAACAGGTGCCTTCACAGCTCCCACTTGGACTAAGAATCAGACCCCATCTGCTTCCACCCATGAAAGCAAGGCGCACATCTGCCTCGGTGTTCCAAAATGCCCAGCTTGCAAAAAGACAACGCCGCCTGCTCACCCTTTTGCTTCGATTACCTCGAACGTACTGCGCAGCAAATGTGAAAGCGGTGCCATGCCAGGCATATAACTCCCACATAAATAAACCCCGAGGCACCGGCGACCCAGCGCTGCGTGTGTCTCCAGCAGTCTACGTGGTCAGAGCCCAGCACACAAGATGCATCAACATGCTGGCTGAAGTTGTACGGGGCTCCCCATCGTTGTGTCATCATGGCGTATGCCCGTGCACTCTGCGGCTGTGCAGATTTCGATTTTCAGACCCTGATGGTCTCGCAATCTTTAATGGATGGTCACTAACAGCTTCGTCAGTTGGCATGTTGCCAACAAGACCAACCCTCAGCAGATTATTGCATGTCGAACACGCCCGCGCGCCGCTGCGCATTCGTCTCATGCTGCGAGGTCTCAACGCTTTCGTCGAGCCCGCCGACCCTGACGACAGCCAAAACATGTTCAGCGTTTCCTTGCTTTGAGCACTCCTGTTTTGCAGCCGGCCTTGGGCGGGGGCAAGTCACCGAATCCGCCCATCATGCCCTGTGAGCACACTCTTTGCTGGCCACAGCATGAAGCCACGACGCTTTTCGTTCAATATGTTTCCATGATGTTGGACATGCCTCCAGCGTCGCTCCCAGGAGGAGGGCCTCGTAACCATCGGCCATCCCTCCTGATGAAACGCGCTGATAGATGCCGAGGGCTTCGATTGGTCATTCATCTTTGACTCTGTGACTCTGATATTCGCCTCGGCTTCCTGCCGAGAGGCGTCTGGAACAAGCAGACCCGGATCAGGTCTCCTTCCCCCTACCTCAACCCTTCCTTCCCCCCTAACAAATTTTGTGACCGACCCCCCCCCCTGGGCCAGCCCGACTGCCGAGGCCGCGCGCACAAGCGTTTGCAATGAAGACGCCGTGGTGCCACCATTAAGCTGCAGACTGCTGAGCCTTGCTGAATTCTTGTACATGCCCGGCCTGCGGAGGAAGAGGTCCCATAGCCATTTCGAAGTTCAGAGCGAACTTCATCTCCCACCGCCTGGCATGACCAAGGCCTTCAGATGAGCTAACTTCGTAATTTCACTAGATGTCACATGCTTTCACACCATGCCTCCAGCTCTGCTGCGTGGCGTTCCGCCAAGTGAACTGCAGCCTCACACGAGATTTGTTCTTGCTGGAGTTAAGGTGTCACATGCCATCAATGCCTCCGCTTGCGAATCCATCATCTCATTGCAGAGGGAGCATCGAAACCGAAGCCGGCCACCCTGACACCAACCGAAACTGAACATCTGGAAAGGTCGCAACTCACAACCCACGGAGCCATCCTGCCCGTTTCAGCCTGGCGCTCAGGATGCAGATTTGCTTCGCAGAAGGCTTCGAAGACCTCTGCATCAGTGTCTTCCTGGTCAAAAGCAGCCGGAACCTCAAAAAGTTAATCCCGAACAAGACAGCGGCTTAACGGGGAAAAGTTCTTTGAACACGTTGCGTGGAAGTTATTGGTCTCTTAGTCCTCCATTTTGTGCATTTTGTGGAGTTCAAGATACGTACACCGTAGACTCGGGAGCCCCCTTTGTCCGAGGAATGACTCCAGCGTTCTCAAACATTCTCGTCACTTTCTCTTCCTTCTCTTCCCTGCCTTTCTTCTGTATCTGCACTCTGTGCAGATCTGTGCTGGCGGCGCTGTTGGGCACACTTTTCCGATCCCCGTTCTGGCACTGCGTAACTCCGCCACGAAAATACAGGGGATCTGACATGGGCCGCAGAAATCACACCCTTTGCAGAGCAAGGTCTGCCCCAACGTGGCCTTCGGATGCCTTCGGGAGGGTTCGAAGATGAAGTGCTTGGGCCGCTGCTCAACTGCCGAGTCTTGGGAGCCACATGCTGGCAGGGCCGGCAGTCCTGCGAGCTGATCACCTCGCATTTGTATGTAACAGTATGTATTTGTGCGTTTGCGCCATTCTGCGCCCACAGGTGCCAAAGCAGGACCGTTGCTCGAAGCTGATGTAATGCCATGGCCTCACACTGTAGCTAGTAAGTCCTAAGTTCGTCTCCTGACATGGCGTGGAGGCGTGGAGAACCTTCTCTGGGACTCTAGTCGGGAGCGGGTATGCGTGGAGGGACAAGCTTGGATTTGAAGGTCTTGGGCATTCTGAGGCATTCCTGAAGATTGTTGGGTCTGAGGTTGCACACCGTGCGGACGGTGCCAATGGTAGGCTCGACATGGCTCGACTCAAGAAGCACCAAAAAAAGGCAAGGGTGGACTTTTGCTGCGGTTGACGGCGAAAGAAGCGTACAGTCCGCCGAAACTTGATTTCCGGATGCCGAAGATGGTGCCCCCACGTCAAGCGATGTACCCTGCGGACGAGGTGCTCACGGACAGCCAGGGACAGTTCACCCCCCCCCCCCCCATGAATTCCAGCACGTGCTCCGTGATGGAATTATTGACGCCGAGAGGAAGAGGACATGGAGCCTCGAAGGATGCTACCTGAAAGATCTCGTGAGATGAGCTGCGATGGAAACATAAGCCGAGCTACACAATGGCTGCCACAACTTCCTATAACTTCCAAAAGTTGAGATGTTCAGGCGTTTCCGTCGATAACGTTTTAGCACCGCGTGCTTTCCGGAAGCGCCACGCCACACAACGCGCAAAGCTTTGGCACTTGCTCACATATTCCCATTGTGCTACACCACAATGTACCAGCACTATCCTCCTGCTCCTCCATCGCGCTGCTTTCTGCCTTCTTATGGCACCTTGCAGTGCGTACTATCTAGAGAAATACCAGGCACCAAATGTACAAAAAACATCTTGCCAGCACATGGGGCGCTGACGGAATGCACATGCTGAAGTCGCATTTGCGGCAATCAAAAAGTCGCTTCCCGTCAGGAATATCTTTGCCGCATATGTCACATTCATAGCCTGGGCGAAGTAGTGGCAAAAATGGAAGCACCGTCAAGCAGACTGGCATTGAATGGCATGACTGTCCTCCATCGGCTTTCTTTCTCTTTAGAGTGTGCCTTGATGCAGTGGGGAGCAGCTGTTGCACCAAACGCAAGCAACGACTTTGGCTCTAACCCTGATGGGCAGGTTGCTTCGAAGGGCTGCATGCCTGACAAGCTTCACCATCAAAGGCCGAGCTTTTGCGACATTCGTGTGACAATCTTGTGGCCTGGCGAAAATGCGGCGAGGGTTCAAGAAGCGATGCCAACCCGCTACAAAGCGTGCAAGCCGTGTGACAAACAACCTCCAGCCCACTGGATGACTCAATCCAAGCACGTCCCCATCACACAAATCCGAATGCTTGCGCCCCCGAGCCAAATATAGGGGGGGGCATTTTTGTGGCTCTCCCTGGCCAAACCCTTGCTGCACTGAGACCCTGCCAAGACTCACCTACTCAATGCACAGCAAACCAAAAAATGTCAGCAAGTTCAGGGCACACACACACACAGACACACACCAAGCTGAAGAGGGAGGGATGCAAACCAATGCGAGATCCGGCCTGTCATTGCCGCCATGAAGGCCTGTGTCCACAAATTTATGCGAAATCGCAACCAAGCACCCCAACAACACAATTTGGTAACTCTTGTCTGCGTGCCAAACGACAAAACCGTCTGGTTCAAGCACCAACTCCACCGGCCGTGCCTCCTCAATCGACACGCCAGCCTTTTTCCGGCGACCCTGGGACAAGCAAAGGAGTTGAATTTGCGATGAGTCGGAGTTGCCCGCACCTTGCGCCGTCGGCCACGTGCGTCCTCCGGCCAATCAATCAAGCCAAGATCGAAGCGCCCAAAAGAGAGCCAAAGACTCTGCCAAAGACATCAAAAGCGCAAGACGTTAGCTCTGGCTCCTTGAAGCCGAAACTCCCTGTCATCTTCAAGAGCTCATCGATGAGAACCTAGCACACTTAGAGCGATCTGAACTCTGAACTCTCTCCTTAAGCTTCCCCAAGTTTGCATGTGAGGCATGTTGAACTTTGCGGTGTTCTGTGACTTGTAGATAACCAGTGCACTTTGAAGTGCCTGCTCCTCCTCATCCAGATCCTGACACTATCTTTGCCAGTTTCGGCGTCCATAGCGCCCTCCCGAGCCCCCCATCTCAAAGCCCTGAACGCTTTCGAACCTAATTGCAAGCGGCTCATGACAAACAGCACGTCCTGCGCATTTCCACCACCAAAAAAAGCCGTGAACAAGTTCGCAGCTCGCAGGAAGCCTCGGGTTCGGGCTTAACGACAAGGAAGCTCAATGCGCGGCAATGGCAAAGACTAACAATTGAAGCACTTCCAAAACCTCACGCAAGCCCGCAGATTGTGGAGCCGACCCTCGTCGTCATCCAACTCCTTCATATGAAATTTTGCCGTTTGATTTTGAGAAGTCGCACGCAAATGCAGCCATGCAAGGTCCTCACTGTCAACACAACCTGTAGTGTCGTACATGGCACGACGCTCTGAGTCTGAGAGCACCTGCTCTCAAATTTGCTCTTCATTAACAGCTTCAGAACGGCATGAGAGATGCCTGTTCGAGGGAGAGAAGATGCACAAGCAGAGCACACGCAGAGTGCAAGCAGCCATATTGAAGCACCTCATAGGCGCTGGCAATCTTTTGGAACCTGGCGAAGAATGCCCAGTTCTCCGCTCAAGCTTGTTTCCGCTTTGGCCGCTTCTCTGCTTTTGCTGCTGTAGGCAGAAAAATCAGCTTGGGTGCAGGCTCGGCAGTCGCATCCTCACTGTCGTTTTTGTCCTTAGAGCAGAATGCACCTCTCCCCCAACCCGACCCAACAAAACGGATGTCTGGTCCACTACCACTACCACAACGACTGCCACTACGACTACGACTCTACGATGACGACTCTACGACCACGACTACGACTACGACTACTACGATTTCTACGACTACAACTACGACTACGACTACGACGACTACTACTACTACTACGACGACGACGACGACGACCACCACCACCACCACCACCACGACGACGACCACCACGACGACGACCACGACCACGACCACGACCACCACGACGACGACCACCACGACGACCACGACGACGACGACGACGACGACGACGACGACGACGACGACCACGACGACGACGACGACGACGACGACGACGACGACGACGACGACGACGACGACGACGACGACGACGACGACGACGACGACGACGACGACGACGGACGACGACGACGACGACGACGACGACGACGACGACGACGACGACGACGACGACGACGACGACGACGACGACGACGACGACGACGACGACCACGACGACCACGACGACCACGACGACGACGACGACGACGACGACGACGACGACGACGACGACGACGACGACGACGACCACGACGCGACGACGACGACGACGACGACGACGACGACGACGGTTCACTGGAGTCGGTAGAAATAGCAGCAGGTCCACCCGCAGGGATGTTTTGGCGATGGCGCGGCCGCGAGCAACTGCACATCTAATGAGTCCTCTCCGAATATAGTGCTCCAGCTCTGCAAATCGATTTGTCCTTCCATGTCCTTCCACATCTTTCACCACGAGGTCACTAGGAGCCTTGAATAGGTTGCATTTTTTGGCGTCGAGTGGCGTCATACCACGCCCTGAGCCCGCACAGCGCCGCTTGCGCCTGCGCAGCTCAGCCCCCTCGCGGCTGCTCGGAGGAAAAGGTGGAGGCTGTCAGGAAAGCTTGGGCTATGCAGGAACGACAGTTTCGTCACAGCCGCCCAAAAGCGATGACAGTTTGGAGTTTGGCATGTGGCGAACACGGACGTCCAAAAGCGATGACACTTTCGAGGTCGGCCAGCACGGGCACGTCCGTGCTTGCTCAGGCGAGAGTGCGATTCTTGTCCAGAAAGCCAGCGGCTGCACGCCAAACGCAGTGTCCCGGGCCGCGGGCACCGTGCGGCATCATACTGAACCCCTCAGCGTTGTAATCATGATGATAGTGTGGTTTATTTCCTCCTTTTTTCTCCAAAAGCTAAAAAACCCAGACTTCAAACAGGAAACCCTGGGACCTGGCCCCTAGATCCCCGACCTAAACCCTGAACCCACCAAAACCCTGAGCCCCGAACCCGAAACCACAAGCCCATGCAAACCCTAAACTTCGGAGAATGGTAAGTACACCGTGGCGTGCGTCGTAGCGTGTGTGTTTTCAGGCATCGGTGTTGAAGACTGTCTCTTGGACGGATTGTGTGCTCAGTTCAAAAATTAAGGGTTCTGGAAGGGTCTCTTGGGCTCATGGCCTTTAGCCAAATCCATCCAACTAAAAGTGGAGAGAGGGTGCGGCGCACAGACAATGGCACCGCCAATTCTTTAAGGTGGCGGCTGGGTGGAATTTCAAGGCCAGCCGCCTGTACGCTTTCCTTCAAGGTGCTTCTTGGCATTGCGACTTGCTTTGTCACTGTGACTCACGCATGTGATCGGTGCCTGATGTCAGTTTCACTGGCACTGGATTCCACTCCCAGGGTCTGGTACAGACCCTTTGGGTCCTGTCGTTCTCCAGGACAGAGCGAAGTCCAGCTTGCAAGGCCTCGAGCCAATACATGCCACGCTCAGTCCTGGCTGCCCCGAATGGACATGGCCAGGAAGTGCTTGTGGGTCAGTGCTTATTTAAACAGGGCACTGGGGACATCTGGGACTAGGCCGCCAAACGCTCCGGGAGATGCCAATCTGCTTTGACAATGCCTGACACACTGCTAATCTGTCATGGAGAAGGTCCTGCAACATGGGTGCAGAGATATGCAGATATATGCAATCTCGGGGATGTTGTGAACCCTGATCGAGCACATACGAGCATCAGGAGGCTTGCGTACAAGGGTATAACTCACGCTGCGACTCTGATGGAGCTGCGCATGGGGCATGTCCAGCACTGTTTTTTCTTTTGGTTCATCTTGCTGTTCGTGGTGTTGCGCGGCATTCCCTGCACATACCACACATCTCTCTGAGCTCTGCAGCTTCAAGCGATGCAGCTCTCGCTCGCACCCACGGAAAACTTGTCTGCTCTCCGGGAGTACGGTCACAAGCTGGAAAAGCTTCAACCAGTGTTGAGGAGATTAAAGCCCTAAGTAAATCAAGGCCAAAAGAGGTTTCCTAAGGAACCGTCACCAGCTTCATCAAGTTCGAAGCTCCGGGGCATTCTTCCTGTCAAGCTTGGTGAAATACAGCTCTTCAACTGCGTCTGAAAGGTGCGAGTCAACACAAGCAGAAGTTGGCCTTCTGGCCATGCACGCACACAACGATGTCACCAGACTTGACCTAAGCTCAAAGCAGCTTCCAGGAGGAGGACAACCAACGAAACACCTTTCCTCACCCTGTTGCTGGTACATGCTGGTACATCATCTTCATACCTCAGCTAAGCCGCCATGTTGTGCTCCTTGGCGCGAGTCAATGCTTTGGCTATGACGGAGTCGGTGCCCTGAGCCGTGACGGCCATGAGGCGCAAGAAGACCAAAGGCACTGAAAGGCACTGAAAGGCACTGAAAGGCACTGAAAGGCACTGAAAGGCACTGAAAGGCACTGAAAGGCACTGAAAGGCACTGAAAGGCACTGAAAGGCACTGAAAGGCACCGAAAGGCACCGAAAGGCACTGAAAGGCACTGAAAGGCTCTACACTGCCTGGAAGGATGCCGTGAGGATGGGGATGACGCCACGAATAGCAAGCAGCTGTCGCAGATTGGTCTCGCTAGCTGTGATGCACAGGATGGGCGCTTCGGGACCTAAGGCCAGATCAGATATGACCGAAAGCTTCTGCATGGTGACTCGGATCGCCGGTGAGTTTTGGATGCTTAAGTCCGGGACGATACTTGGCAATCAACCTTGCAGTCGTTCCCGTCTCACTGAGGGCAATGATCAGCGGGCATTTGGAATCGACACACGCCTTCACGGCAGAGGAGCAAACGGACTCTACCGCTGACATGCCCATCTCCTTCTTCAGAACAAGCTGTCGCATGTTGAGGTAGAGGGTCTTGTAATCCAGCACTGACTCCGCCTGCTCACAAATTCTCCGCATGGTTGCCACAGCTAGTTCTGGGAACTTGCCATTGGCAGTCTCGCCAGAGAGCATCACCACATCCGTGCCGTCCAGAACCGCATTCAGTACATCTGTCGCTTCGGCACGTGTAGGGCGGGGAGCACGCTCCATGGAATCCAGCATCTGTGTTGCTGTTACCACAAATTTGCCAGCAGCATTGCACCTGCATGAAGTATCTTGAAGTAGCACTGGGCAAAACAGTCACAGCCCGGCAGCCGAACAAAAACCCTCCCGTCTCAGGAGTCGGCTTCATGATAATCATTTTCTGGACGAGCCCAACCTCATGCGCAGAAGCATACCAGACTAAAGAGTCGCATCGGCGAAATAGCCAAACATTCTCTCTCTCAGCTCCCCCTCATTTCCTCTCCGCCCTCTTCTCATTCACCACACCTGCACCCGAGCGCACATACCAGGCACAATGAAAGTGTTGTCGCCGTGCTGCTGCCATGCTTCCCGGCCACCGATTTGCCGTTGCATGTGGTGGTATAGTATGCAAGGGAAACATATCCGGGTGTTGTTGATTCAGCAATCCAGCCGTGCAGTGTCCGTATCGAAGAGTTCGTAAGGTTAGGTTCCAGCTTAACAACCAAAAACCCGACAAGCGCGCTTGGGGTACATGAGGAGCGAGACCGGCGAGACCTAAGGCGAATTGACAGTCCTATCCTTCTCCCACTGCCAGTGCGCATAGTTCACCCCCGCCTGTTTTCACATTTTTGTAGCTGAATTCGGTACCCCATGGCCGGCCTGAATACAACGTTGGGTAGGATCCCTAGAACCTTCTTGCTTATACAACGTAGGAACCAAGGAAGCAGGATGCAAGCTAGTGGAGGAGACCAGGGTTGGCAGCTCGGGCTCGAGCACATGACATCTATGTTAGGAGGATGCATTTTCAGGACCGTATATTTGTGAACCTTAAGACCCTTATAAGCCCCCAACTTGTGATGCTGTTCGCGAGAATGTAACGGAGCAAATAATTATTCATATTTAGGCGGTACAAATAAGCCTCAACATGCTGTTCTCGCTAATTGGCTCTTCAGCACATAACAGTATTGCAAGCCTGAGCGAATACATTAAATGCAAGGAAGCTTTCCACTTTCAATCTTTGCAAAGGAAACCGCGAGGTAAAAAGACCATACGAAGGGGCGGCAACAATAACAATAGCAACACGTGCATTTGATCACACATGATTCCTAAATTTGCCGATGAGGGAGAAAAGGGACCGAAAAACCTGAGGAATGAAGTTGCGTCTCATTTTGAGCACGCATGAACACTATGAACACAACCTTAAGCTCAAGAAACACCATTGACCCACAGTTGCAGGGGTGAATCATATGTTACCATCAATTTCCTCGTGAAGGTAATAGATATATTTTTTAATTCCCTATCTTTTGCCGTAGTAAGAAAAATGTGCTAATGGTGAAGAGAGCGAATGAATTTAATTTGCAAGGAATGAACACATGAATGACGCACGAGATTAAGTAATATTGTTCTCTTCACTCTTGCTTTTAACGATGCAGGCTTTTGGCAAACGAAGTGCGTGTAGAAAGCCCATAAAGCCCCAAAAAACCTTACAATTAAATTGTTACGTCGCGAGCTCATGGCACTCTTTTAGCTTGCTCGCGAACGAAGATAATTGGGTTCAGGACTTCCGAGCACGAGATTTCAGGATTTGGGCAAGGCCCATGTTCGGGCATGATATCTCACCAAACCCCAATGAACTTCCTTTGTTATACCTCAACGTGGAATCCCAAACCCCAAGCCCTAGACCCTAAACCCTTCTTGCCCCCTAAGTTCCAGCTTCCTGAACCGAAATCCCAAAAACCCGGAAAGCAAAAGCCCCCAAGCTCGTCATCTTTCTGGAGGCCGAAACCCCCCGCCCCTCTTGACGCTTTCAGGGACCCCTCTTGAATGCACAGTGGCTATGAGATTTAAGGCTTTGTATTCTGAAAGCGGGGAAAGGAAGAGCGCAGTTTCCAGGATGCTCTCATTCCCAGACTTTCAACGATGAGAGCGATCTGGGCTTTCACTGAACACCTTTCGGGAAGTTGCCTGGATTCTTGCTGGCGAACTTGCGACCAGGGACCCCAGAGTCGAGGCACTGCTCGGACCCTTTCGAAAATCTCTCTAGGGACCAGGAGTTTAAGGGACCTCTTAGGAACGCATGGACCTTTCGGATTCATCTTTGATGAGACGCGAGCAAGCGGATGGCACACGGAGAGAAGTGCTCGTTAAAACCCTGCTCATTCCGCAGTGATAAACATAAAGATGAGTTCGAAAACGCATTACACTCGCAGTGCAGGACGCTGCATCTCTCTGAAGCCGTCGAAGAAGCCTTCTCGATATCGATCTCCATGCCCATGTCGCCACGTGCCACCATGATTCCATCACTTGCAGCGATGATCTCATCAATGTTGTTTATGCCTTCTTGATTCCTCATCTGCCAAGATCGCAACCACAACTGCCACAACTGCCGAAACTTCCACAACTACCACAACTACCACAACTACCACAACTACCACAACTACCACAACTACCACAACTACCACAACTACCACAACTACCACAACTACCACAACTACCGCAACAACCACAACTACCACAACTACCACAACTACCGCAACTACCACAACTACCACCCCAATAGAATTGCTGCAAGAGGCCTGACTGCAGTTGCAAGCCAAGCTTCTCAATCTTCGAGATGATCCTGACCGAACGTCCTCGCATTCCAAGAGTGTCCCGGATAAGCTTGATGTCATTGGCATCCTGCAAGGCGAGAAACAGAGCCGAGCTGTGCCAGCACACCACAAGAAAAACGCTGCTGGAGTCCTGAACAAACGAAGCTGCCACGAAGTCGACACCTTGCGGCACACCAAATTCAATGAGATCCTTCTTGTCCTTCTCCTCCATGCAAGAGCATGGCACGACTCGCTGACATTGCGCCATACTGCACCCTGTCCACCTGTCCTGGAGCACTGGAAGCTCCACCTTCACGCCAGGCAGATTCCTCACGCCAAAGAGATGCCACTAGCAAGAGGCCGACGCAGCTGATCGCTGCACAGCGAAGAAGGCGAACGATGCCATTCAAACGACATATGCGATTTGTGCATTGCTCGCGTTCGCACATTTCCTAACTACGGAGCGAACAACTGCTCCGTCGGCGACGGGGTGATGAATGGTGATGAGCAGATACGAGCAGCCGTCGGCCCAACTGATGCGAGACTATACTTTGAAGGCCGAAGTGCATGTTCTTCTTCTCACCAATGGCGATGTCGTTCAGAACCTGCTGCAACAAAACATGCTGCTGCCATGCCTTTCCGACATGTCAGGGTCGAGGAACTCGGCCTCTGTGACGACATGGTCAGAGCCTGTGCTCTTCACCTTTAGTGACAAGGACCCATCGGCAGCGAGGATGATCTGGCCTGGCTTGACCTGGCTCAAGGCAACTTGATGCTCAAGGCCAATAACATTTAACATGTTTACATGTTTACAGGTGCAGACTAGGTGCTGCTGTTGGGAGCGTCTTGTAGCTGCAAGCGATGCAAGTCTCGTCGCCCTGAAACCACAACCACAGGCGCTGCATCATGCAAAGGCCGAGCATCACCCCTTGCACAAGATGGCCTTGAAGTCGTAGTCATTCACAAGCTTGAGGTCTTGCCCAGCTTTCAGTGAGATTTTTCCGCCGGCCAAGCTCTCCTGCGCCGACCACCCATTTGGAACCCACCCCCTTCAGGCCTAACACCCAACAAGTCTATTCATCGATTACCAGATCCTTGAAGAAGCCCGTTCGGATTTCTGGACCCTTGGTGTCGAGCAAGATCCTTGGCATCGACATGCATCGACACACAGAACTCAGTGAACATAGTGAACTCAGTCACGAGAGAGAGCTCGCTGACCTCTGAGTTCTCTCTGAACGCAGATACGCTTCTCTCTGCTTGTTCTCTGCCGTTTTTTCGTGTTCTTTTTTCCTGTTTTCTTCTGCCGAGTCGCGCCACGGGCTTGTCGGGTCGCTGCTTGGAGGCCTCGCGGACTCGCCCGACGGTGGCGCCGTGGCCCTGACAGAGAGCCAGCCCTGAGAGCTCGCTGAGACACGGAGAGAGACAAGGAGAGACGGAGAGAGAAAGAGAGCAAAAGAAAGCAAGAGAGAGAGAGAGAAAGACACACAAAGAGGGCTGTGTAAGAGAGAGAGAGAGTGGGGCATACACACACACGCACACGCACACAAAATAAAGATCAAGGCGTGCTCTGTTGAAAGAGGTTCAAGAAGTGGCTCAAAAGAATGGACTCAAAAGGAGGTGGCGGACTTGTCTTTGGACAAACGCTGTTGACTCCGACGCACCTCGTGATCCCCGTGAGAGAAATTCAACCGGGCGATGTTCAGACCCTGGTCGATGAGCTTCCTTCGCTATGGCAAACGCCGTTGCTAAGCAAATGCAAATCTTGACAATCTTGTACTCACAGAGATGGGCATGCGATCAAAACGGCACATCCGGGATAACAAAACCACACAAATAACACCCAAGCTTCTGCAGTTTGTGTGACTAACTGCCCCTACCAACAGCAGAAGTCGCACTAGCAACCAGAACTGCAGCAACATGGGACAACACACGGAAACCTGATGCCAAACTCGAAGGCCAAGCAGCACAAGCATGGGAACATCCCAGCAGCAAGGGCCCATAGTGCAGATAATTTTGCACTTGCGCCGGAAAGAATCGCCACCAGCCTTGAAAGCAAGTGTGTGTGTGTGTGTGTGTGTGTGTGTGTGGGTGCGTGTGCGTGTGCGTGTGCGTGTGCGTGTGCGTGTGCGTGTGCGTGTGCGTGTGCGTGTGCGTGTGCGTGTGCATGTGCATGTGCGTGTGCGTGTGCGTGTGCGTGCGCGTGCGCGTGCGCGTGCGCGTGCGCGTG